TTTTTTATAATGGATGATATAGGCAATTCTTTTTAAGATAGCAAGTGGCATTATGATAACCACCGTTGATCACTTTGTATTCTGTTTTTACATTATGTTCTGTGTCCATCATTTTGATTTGACTGACACTTTTTGTTATGTCACAATTGGTTTTATACTCTTAAAAAAAAGTAATAAGAACTGTGAGAGTAATAAAACCCAAAATGTGTAACCGTCATTGTAAAAAAGAGAGGAAAAGAAAGTGCTCTAAAGAATATGACTGCATGTATATTTAAGTGTATAACATAGATAATCCTATTACTGAGTTTTTGTTGGATCAAAGAACAGAACTGTTTGCAGTCTCACTGCTTGAATATCCACTTTATAGGCTTTAATTTTGTATTGAATAACTATTTCTAAGATGACAATATGTAATCTATTAACTAGTGATTTCTTACTGTTTATTTTTTTTTTTTTTGGAAATTCTGTAAAACTTGTACCCTTTTTCTGTTTTTTTTTTCTCCTTAAATAAAATTTTTTTTAAAAGGATGCTGTATCCAGAGTATGAGGAGATGGGTAACTGCTGACACTGGCTCTGTTCCTACATCATAACTGTCAGGACAGTCATCTAAGATGTTGTGAACATCAGAGTTCACTGCATGTTACTGCTGGGTCATGCTCCATGATATGGATGGACAACAGCATGGGGAGACCATGGTATGGACCTATCTCAGCACAACTGGGCCACAGCACAGATTGTCAGTCATTTGTTTAATCATCCTATGAAGGGCTTTGGGGTCTTTCTAGAGTGTGATGGTCACGAATAAAAACCCACAATAAGTATTCTAAGACATATTTTTCTGTGATCAAAAAGTTTTGTTCCTCTGGGACTTGAACCCACAAGTGAGATTTCTGCTGTATACAGACAGTACTTGCATGTCCTTTTATCTCTTAAGATACAGCCAAAAGTTTTGCAGAATGGCCATATCATTCCTCTTTCCTACTGTCAGTGTAAGAAGGATTCTGGTGTTTTCTTTGTTTTGTTTTGCTTTGCTTTGTTTCATTTTGTATTGTTTGTGTGGTGTTGAAGGTGAACCCTAGGACCTGTCACATGCTAGGCAAGTGCTCTACCACTGAGCTACATTATTGCCTTTTCGATTGTTTAAGATAGGATTTCCTAAGTTGCCCATGCTACCTAGGATTAAACTACCAAACCTTTCTGCCGAGCATCCAGCATATATGGGATTCCAGGCATGCAGCACTGTACCCAGAGTATTATAGTTTTAGCACACGTCTCCTAAAGCCTGCAGATACTAAGCAGACCTTCATATCCTTATTTGTCGTCTGTCTTTCCTCTCCTCTGAAAGGCCTTTTCAAGTCTTATGTCCATGTTCTAATTGGGTGAGTTGTTTTTCCTGTTGTGGTTGAGATTTCTTTATATATATTGCATAAGAGTGCTTTGCCAGATGCACCATGTGTAAACATTTTGGTTCTTGTGCATGATTCTTTTAAAAATGTTTCTGAGCTCTATTAGTAGAAATTTTCCCCCTGTGCTAATGGCTGGCGGCTTGGGGTACAGGATGAGAAGCAGAGCCCTGGTGTCTCATGATGGGCATGAGCATGAGTTCTTTGAGCCACTGGAATCTGAGTGGTTTGCTTCTGCAGTGGAGTCTGAGCCATCCTAACATACACACCAAGCAGGTGACAGTCGGGCTAGTGAACAAAAAGTGCAGGAACACAAATTTCCACACCCGGAGACTAGAGTCTATGCTCTATGGGTCAGGGTTCCACTTTCTTTCCCTGTCTCTTTCTTTCCATTTTTCTCTCTTCCTTCCTGCCTGTCTGCTCACTCCTTCCCATTCCTTCTCTTTATATTTTTCGTTCCTGTCCTTCTTTTTTCTTCCTTGCCTCTCTTGGTTGTATCGTGCTTCTCTTGTTTCCTTCCTCCCTGTGCTTTCCTCTTCTCAGTGAAGGAGGTGTGCATTTATTCCAACATCTAGTCTTATCCATAGCCCGGGACAGCACGTTAGAGGGATGCCTGTGTGCCTGGGTTCCCGCCACATCTTAGAGCTCATAAAATGAGACAAACTGTGGAACTGGAGGAGGCTCCTGGCTATTCTTCTGAGAGAGGACTGCTACCTAGAATATATTTAAAAATTCAAAAACCTAGCCCCTCAAACCAAATAACTCAATCAGTAAAATGATCAATTAAACTGAAAAGATATTTCTTAAAAGCAGAAGCACAACTCACATATAAATATATGAAAAAAAGGAACATGTTTAACTGTTAGGGAACTGCCATCAGAACAACTGAGATCCCAACCCAGTGAATGTGACTGTCGTCACAAACATAAAAAACGACGAAGGCTGACAAGAATGTGGGGATAAAGAAACCCCTCTAGACTGTGGATGGAAAAATAAACTTGTAGAGGCCATGCTGGGTCTGGGAGGAACACATCAAGAAGCTAGCTCAAGCTTTCCATAGGTCATGCAATCCAGGTGGGGTATAGGAAAAACAGAAGCCAGGTCTCCTTTCCCGTTAGCTGACTGGTGCACAGGCTGAGAATCAAGGAATCTCCCATCCCACCCCCAGAAGCAACTGGATGATTCAGAGGACAGGCTGAGTTGAGAGCAACTGAGGTACAAAAACAGCTAAATGCTTGTGTTGATGGATTTTTCAGGACTAAGGCTGGTGGTGGTCTGAGCATATCCTGAGTGGAGAACGATATGCAATATGGCCAACATGGGGAATTTCCTTCTGTCTTGTTTTTGAAATCCAATATTGTTCTCACTGGTTTGTTTTACCCAACTTATTGTTTTGTTTTGTTTAATGCTCTGTTTTGATTGATTTTATTTTGCTTTGTTTTATTCCATTTTAGTATGTCTGAGGGAATGGACAGTTATTGTAAATATAACAACATACATTGTTGTAACCTTTGTTGAAAAACTATTGTCCTGTTTTGAAGTCCTGTACCACCTTCTCTCTTTTGTTTTGATTGGTCTTATTCTGTTTCATATCATTGGGTTTTATTCTATTTTTAAAAATGAAAGAAAAGTAAAGTAAAGTCGTGCAACTACTGTCAAATCTTTATGCACATAACTCAAAAACCTAAAAACAGAAAATAATCATAGTTACTTTTTTGGTTGCTGAGACAAAATATTCAACACCCCAAAGTTAAAAGAAGGAAGATTTATTTTAGCTCATAGTTTGTAGAGGTTTCAATCCATAATCGATCGTCTCCATGGCCAGGTGGCATGGCAGAGGGGTACCACAGAGGAGAATCAGTTTATGACAGAGCAGACAGGAGGCAGCAGATAGGCAGGACCAGCATCCCTGTCTCTCCCTTTGACCCCTCCAAAGTACAAATCCTTACATTATGTACACCCAGAACTATGGTAAACCAAATAGTGGATTTATCCTGTGTCACAGCACCCTTAATACCAGTACCACAGCCTACATCCAGCCACATTGAAAAGCTGCACCTATGAACTCATGAGGCTTTAGGAGACAACTATATACAAGCTATAGAAGTTTCTTTGACATAACTATACCTGCCCTGAATATTTTATCAGAAGGACTGAAGACATCGAACTGTGGCAATACATTCATTCCCATGTTGGTAGTGGCACAAGTCACAGTGGCTATTGTTGGATTAAGTACTGGTGGTCAACTTAACACCAGCTTGATTACATCAGCATGGCACTGAGCATAGTTGTCTCACCTGAGGAAAGTTGTCAGCAAAAATAGAGAAGTGGAGAAGGAGAAGCTAAGCATTGATGCATTATTGCACTGAGGCATTGTGGGTTCTCCTACAAGTTGCTGTTTGAGCCATTGGTTCTCCTGGAGAAGCTCTGGTCCTCACATCGAGCATTGCTTCCTGGCTCCGGAGGGGAAGATGTGTGCAGCTTGGTCTCTAGGATGAACTCGTCATGCTGGCTTCCTGGCAGGTACTCAACTGTGCTTGTCAGAGGATGAGCTCTGAGCTCCCTGTCACTGAGGATGGTGCTTTTCAGGACAGCTCTGGTCTTGTTGTAAATGTGACTTCTTGGCTCCAGAGTAGAACCCTCAGCTCATCAGCACAGCTCCTTCCCCTTTCTGGCATAGACTTCCTGGCTTCCACTGCTGACATTTGAGTTTCCCCAACATAGATCCATTAAAGAGACTGGCGTGAGTTCTCCTTGTGGGCTCTGGACCTCCAACTGGACTCATGGGAGGCATTGTTATGAGCTCTGGGTTTTCATCTGGACTCATGAGGGACACTGCTGTGGGATTTTCGCCCTTGACTAAATATTCTATGTTTTTGGTATTGCGGATAGATTTCCTGCCTTTTCTTGTAAGTCCTGGTGACTATTATTACAATAATATTATAAATGCCATGTCCTCATTCTAATTGTTCTCTACATGAACCCTAAGTACAACAGCTACTCTGAAAACAGCATAGCTGTTCATCAACAGACACATAAATAAAGAAAATGTGGCATATCTATACAATTGCATATTATCCATAAAGATGAAATCACATCATTGGCAGGAAAACAGACAGAATTTGAGATCATCGTGCTAACCAAAACAAACAAGAACCAGAAACTTAAACATGTCATGTTTTCCTTTTTACTAGAAACCTAAAGTATTAAATAAACAAACAAACAAATAAGGGATGATGAGAAGTAAACAAGAGATTCCTGGAGATGAGGAAAGTGATGGGGAAGAGAGGACAGTGGTTGTGGGGCGTAAAGTGTTGCAAATGATCCCAATCTGTCCTATGTGTATGTTTATTCCCCAAAAGGAACAAGACTAACGTTGCATAGTCATAAAGGCTAAACTAAAAAAGAAACCAAAAGAGAAAATGAATGTTTTAAATGTCGCACCCTGGGCTAGGGATGTAGCTTAGTGGTAGAGTGCTTGCTTCCCCAGCCCACGATCCTGGGTTCTCTGTCTGATACCTGAAGACAGTAACGAGAATAATGATAGTGCTTTCTTAAAAGATAGCAATAAATTCACACACAGACAGTCATGGAGAACAAATGCACTGGGAACAAGGAATTTGTTCCATTTATTTACAAATAACTTCCAGGGCAAGGGAGACAACTAAAAACTTAGGATTTATATGACAGTAAAAAAAAATGCACCCACACAGATAATTAAAGAAATTAAACCAGAAAAGGAAATACCATTTTTCATTTGAGAAATATGTAATACACACTGTCTTGAAGTTCTAAACTACATTGCCAACAAACATGAGCAACCACATGTCTTGAACAAACAAGTAAATCTGACTAATCTGTCTTCACATGCAGAGACAAAATGATAAAAGTCTTTTCCAATAAAACTCTAGTGATATGGATGAAAGTTCAGCTTCAGGAACCATTTACAGAAGATCGTGTTTCTGAAGGAAATAGTTGCAAAGTTGGGACATGCAGATGGGGCGAGATCAATCAGGATGGGCCTTGTGATAAACACACCATCAATGTCACACAAGGAAGGAAGTCAGGTGAGTCTTGGGCTCCAGGACAATAAGGAAGGAGCCACACGTAGGCCCTTAAGAAACTGAGTGATGCATGGGACATGCAACAGCCTGAAATGCAACAAACAAAGAAACACATGCCCCCAGCAAGTGCTGTACACAGCAGTGACTCACTGAGTGAGGGCTCAGAGAGACCCCTGGACAGGTATATAAGGCTCCCAGGCAGGAGGAGCCACATCTACACACCTCCCTCTCCACCTGCTCCTCTCACCTCTCCACCTCCATCACCAGAACCATGACCTGCTGTGGCTGTTCCGGAGGCTGTGGCTCCAGCTGTGGGGGCTGTGGCTCCAGCTGTGGGGGCTGTGGCTCCAGCTGTGGGGGCTGTGGCTCCAGCTGCTGCTGTGTGCCCGTGTGCTGCTGCAAGCCTGTATGCTGCTGTGTGCCAGCTTGTTCCTGCTCCAGCTGTGGCAAAGGGGGCTGTGGGTCCTGTGGGTGTTCCAAGGGGGGCTGTGGCTCTTGTGGCTGCTCCAAGGGGGGCTGTGGCTCCTGTGGCTGCTCCAAGGGTGGCTGTGGCTCCTGTGGGTGCTCCAAGGGTGGCTGTGGCTCCTGTGGGTGCTCCAAGGGGGCTTGTGGCTCCTGTGGGGGCTGTAAGAGCAGCTGCTGCCAGTCTAGTTGCTGCAAGCCCTGCTGTTGCCAGTCCAGCTGCTGCAAGCCCTGCTGCTGCCAGTCCAGCTGCTGCCAGCCCTGCTGCTGCCAGTCCAGTTGCTGCAAGCCCTGCTGCTGCCAGTCCAGCTGCTGCAAGCCCTGCTGCTGCCAGTCCAGCTGCTGCCAGCCCTGCTGCTGCAAGCCCTGCTGCTGCCAGTCCAGCTGCAGTGGCCCTGTGTGCTGCCAGTGTAAGATCTGAGCTTCTAAGCTTAGATGAGCCAGCCACAATTCAAGGCTAACCCTCTCTGTTGGATGAACCCAGCTGTGCCTCCCACTTCCTAAGTAGAGCCCGTGCACTCACGCACTGTCTCCTCTCAGGATCTCCTCCCAAGTCACCGTCTGGCTCAACTGGCCATGCTTTCCCACTCAGCAGCCTAAGCACTAAACACATTCTATCCTGTCTTTTGGTCTAGGAAAATTCTTCGTTTGGAGTCTCATTTAGAAAGATGTGGGGTAAAGATTTGCTGGAACTGTCTGTGAGCTATACACTATTTTCTCTTAAATTGAATGTTGCAATCCAATAAAACCACACAGCCACAAACCAAAGCATGTGTCTTGCTCTTTTCTCTGTTCTTCATCATCACTACCATGGCTATTGGCCTTCATGGTTCTGTTGACTGAAGGCCTTCTCACGGCTCTGTGGGTGGTGTGTGGCTCTGAGCCCTAATAGGATGAGAAATGGTGGCTACTTGTGCCTCCAGACTCGCTCCTGACCCACTCTCAACTCACTTTGGATTCCTCTCTGCCCATGTACTGTCACTGCTGACCCAGTGGGGACAAGACTGCGCCTGGGCCCAGACCTATAAATTCTCCAAGACAGAGAATGCCCTTGGGTATTGCAGACTGTCCCATCCTTCTGTCCACTTTGACATCACCCCTTGGACAGTCCTGGCAACTGATTTGTTCTGATTTTCACTGTTAATCTTTACAAAGGCTTTTTACCTCAGTAAACAAATACATTTCTAAGGGTACCAGAACCTTGTCACTGAGGGTCCTCTCCTCTACCCTCCCCCAGGAAGGTTGCTCCGTCTGCATTGATGTGGCAGGACTAGGAACGGAGATGAAATCACCATACCCACAGTAAGGGATGGTCGTACACACATATGCTACCATATGCTCTCCAGCCCACCGGCCTTTGGTACAGTGAAAAACTCCACATCTTCATCTGTTTACCTTGAAGCAATACTGATCAAGCCTTAGAATTAAACAACTAGCTTTCCTATATTAACTGACGAGTGTGCCCCAGGCCTTGGTGACTTCCCAGAGAGCCAGCAGCTGGCATGTATAAAATGGGACTCTCCACACCAATGGTCATAGTAGAGATCTATGGTGGTCGCAAAACTATGGTGCCCCTGAAAGCAAGATAACACTGCACCTGAGGGCAGTAATCAAAACTCAGTACAATAGTGCTAAACTCAGACATCAGGTGGTTCCCTTGTTAAGCAAAGATTTACCACATGGAATGTCTTTGCTCCACTTCACAAGTCCTTGCTTCCTAACATGCTGTCTCCCTCAGATGTTCCCTTCACTTCCTTGCTCCCCTGATGCGCCTTTACCCAATCAATAGTAGGCAATCCTGGGAATTCTTTATCTTTGCCACAAGAGCTCTGATCTTCCTGGGCTCCCAACAAACATACTCCATAGTCTATTTTATTTTAACTTCACCTCAAGCTCATCTGTAACATTGGGAGCCTGATCAGCTCGTGATAATTGACAGTTCTTCATTCCAATCTGCATAACACATAAGAAATTATCAGGAAACAGAAAAACAGTTCCTGATTCCCAATCTCAGGACCTTGGGGAATGCCTCTGCCAGCTCTGGCCTTCTGCTCTACAATTGGAGCAATGATGTTTCAAAGTTCTTGGGGTTGGGGACTTAGATCAGTGGTACAAGCGCCTGCCTGGCAAACTCAAGGTTGTGACTTCAATCATCAGTACAAAACCCAAAAGCTCACAAAGTTCCTAAGAGGCAGTATTAATAGGGATAAATTATTTCAGCTGTTTAAAAAGACAGTTTACTAGTGAGACATGCCAAAGCACGAGAATAGATAAAAGGATAAAAATCCAGCTGTTTTCTGGAGCCCTGTTGGTGGTAATCAGTGAGGTTATTACTATTTGAGACTTCTACAGAGTTTTATGGGAAAAGAAAATGCATTATTAGATACTTCACTTGAGCTGCAATTTGTAGTAGGAGCTTATTGAGGTTAACAAAACTTGAATTCTTTTTTTTAAAAATCCATTTCACTTCAAAGAAGAAAAAAAGTAAAGCATTGCAAAAAACATCAATTGGGAGCAATAACAGTATATACATTGCCCACTATCATCCCAAATCATTCACCTCTGGGTGACATCTGCATTCAATTGTTCAAACAATACCAGCACAAATCAATCTCTTCTATGAACTCAGAGAAATCAGTAGTATAACAATCTTAAATGTAAATATTGTTTCAGCTTCTCACACTTGCGAGACAATACAATGTTTACATATGTGTGTCTTATTTATTTCACTTACGAATATGTTCTCAAGTTGCATCCATTGACCTAGAAAAGTCTCCAGTTTATCCTTCTTTATGGTTGAGTAGTACTCCATTGTATAAAAATACCACATCTTCCCAAAATTAAATTCTTGATTTAGACCTATCTCTATGGGATAATGACATACTTTACTGCTTTTTAAAAAAGTAGTTTCCTCCTCCTTTGAAAGACCTTAGAAATAATGATCTACATATTATTAGTAAACTCTCCCAGCAACAAGACCATTGCCTTTAAGTATGACCTCCCGTACCTAAACACAATCTGGGAGCTCTGGAGAAATGGGGTAGACCTGAATAGGCTGCGCATAGAATGTCTTACTAGAAAGCTAGAAAGATAACAGTCATTAGTGACTTCACATCAAAAGGACGAAAGCATCAGATCCAAACACCAGTGCAGAATTGCCCTGTGCATGACAATTACTTATATATACTGGCACACAACAAATATGTCTCAATCTATAAGCATGTAATACACAAAGAGTGGTGCGCATATATGCAAAATGTAGAAGTTCTCAGCTGCCACCACAAGATGATGAAAATCAATTCATCATTGTGAACATGAATTAATAAAAAGAAATAATCAGGCATTTCTTCAGTCTTTAATATAGCCATCATGACTGAAAAATGAAAATAAATGTTTCAGTCTATAAGTAAAGAAGAAATTATAAAATGAGGAATTCACCACTTTATATCCTATGTAGAAGAGTAGGTTTGTGAAATCTACTGAATGTTGCAAAATCAGACCTTAGAAGAACATTGACATAAAAATATATGGTGGAGCTCAGAAATGTGGCACCTAGCTGGCAAGCACAAGGTCCTGAGTTTGATTCCCAGTACTCCCCAAATATACATAGTGGAGTAAGATAGAAATATTACTCAGCCAAAACCCATCTGTAAGGCTGTCAGAGTTCCCCAGCAGAGCACCAAGGGAAGTAACATTTGAGATCAATCATGGTTTTCTGGGTCTCTCACCTTGTCGAGACTGGTGGGGTACAGAGGAAATAACAGAAGCTCCCTCCCCAAACACCCTCAATGTCTGATATGCCACCTGATTGTCTCAGGAGACAGAAGTTTGAAATGCCCAGGGCAGCTTTCTACACTCACTTTTCCTCCTCTGACAGAGACCATTTGTGTTCCACCCAGTGGCCCCAGAGAAATCCCTCATGAGTACAGCCACCAGTTCCTCTGCACAGGCATCCAGTTGAGCAATAATTAAGTCTGGGTCATGCCTTCCGAGGTCATGCAATCCAGGGATGGCTTGATAGGGCAGTATAAGGTAGACTCAGAAACCTACCATTCCAAGCACAGAGAATGGTGGCCTTGGTTTGTTAACCAGGTGTAGGTGGACAGAGAGTTACGGGTGTTGGAAAGCAGTTTGTATACATTTGGCAAAACTGCCAGGCTGTACATCCCTGGGCAAGAAACTCAGAAACCATGGTGCTACTTGCATGCTGGTTCCTAGGACTGTAGTATGTAAAGTTTTATGGAGTCGGCCTCAGAGCTACTCAGCTCATGCTCTTAGGCCTAAGGCCCTGCCTGTCATGGCCATATAGCCACTCCAACCAAACCAATCTCAGCTGACCTCTTTGTCCTGCCTCTGAAGCCAGCTCTCTCTCTCTAACCCCTCCTTGAGTATTGATTGTGGCCCTAGCCTCTGAGATCCTCAGGTCAAAACCCAGGCATACACTACGGATTCTAACCCTTTATTATTTTTAGGGCCTAATTTGCTAATCATATGACTGGTAATTCACTTAATGACCACCTTCCCCAGCACACCAACTCCCCAGCACACTCACCACTTACTGCTTGTTCTTTCATGTACTTTACAAACATGACCTCCTTCCGTGATCATCTATAGGATTCAATCTCTTCATTTGAAATAGTTGTGAATCCACCTACTTCAAGACAGCTATAGATTTCATTTTGGGGTAGTTTGGATAGTTTGGACAGTTGTAAGCAAGACAGTAGTGACTCCACATACCCTAGGGCTTGCCCAAGGCAGCACTACCAGAAAGTCATTGTCAATCTTATACCCAGGATATGGACATTTGACGTTTCCATCACAAGGAGGCTGCCTGAACAGAGGAACTGCAGGTCCTAAGATCCCCACCCCATCCTCCCCATCCATGGCAACCACAGAGCGGTTGTACATCCCAGTTACTTACTGGTTTCAAGGATTTTGTTTCCAGAGAATCAGGAGATGGGTAACTGCTGACACTGGCTCTGTTCCTACTTCAGAACTCTCAGGACAGTCATCTAAGATGTTGTGAACATCAGAGTTCACTGCATCTTACTGCTGGGTCATGCTCCATGATATCAATGGACAACAGCATAGGGGGACCATGGTATGGACCTACCTCAGCACAGCTGGGCCACAGCACAGATGGTCTGTCCTTAGTTTAATCACCCTACAAAAGACTTTGGGTTCTTTCTAGTGTGTGACTGTCATGACGAGAAAGCTACTCTAAGCATTCACAAACATATTTTTCTGTGATCAAAGGTTTTTTCCCTCGGGATATGAACGCACAAGTGAGATTTCTGCGATGTACGGACAGTACTTCCATGTCCTGTTTTATCTTAAGATGCAGTCAATCTTTTTCTGAACGGCTTATCATTCCACTGTCCTACCGTCAGTGTAAGAAGGATTCTGGTGGTTTCTTTGTCTTGTTTTGCTTTGCTTTCTTTCATTTTGTATGTTTGTGTGGTGTTGAAGGTGAAACCTAGGACCTGTCACATGCTAGGCAAGTGCTCTACCTCTGAGCTACATTCTTGCCTTTATGATTGCTTGTTTTAAGATAGGATCTCACTAAGTTGCCCATGCTAGGATTAAACTACCGAACCTTTCTGCTGAGCATCCAATGTATCTGGGGTTGCAGGCATGCAGTACTGTGCCCAGAGTATTATAGTTTTAGCACACGTTTCCTAATGCCTGCAGACAGTCAGCAGACCTTTGTGTCTTTATTTGCCCTCTGTGCTTCCTCTCCTCTGAAAGGCCTCTTCAAGTCTTATGTCCATGTTCTAACTGGGATGGGTTGTTTTTCCTGTCTTGTGATTGAGCTTTGTTTACATATCCTGACTAAGAGTCCTTTGCCAGATGTGACGTTTGTAAACATTTTGGTTCTTGTGCATGATTCTTTTAAAAATATTTCTGAGCGCTATTAGGAGAAATTTTCCCCTCTGTCAGTGGCTGGCATCTTGGGGTACAGGATGAGAAGCAGAGCCCTGGTGTCTTACGATGGACATGAGCATGAGTTGATTGAGCCACTGAAATCTGAGTGGTTTGCTTCTGCAGTGGAGTCTGAGCCATGCTAATACACACACCAAGCAGGTCACAGTCGGACTAGTGAGCAAAAACTGCAGGGACAGAAATTTCCACACCAGGAGACAAGAGTCGATGCTCTATGTGTCAGGATTCCACCTTCCTTCCCCCCGTCTCTTTCCCTCCATTTTTCTTTCTTCCTTCCTGCCTGTCTACCTCCCTCCTTCCCTTTCCTTTTCTTTATATTTTTCGTGCCTGTCCTCCTTCCTTTCTCCTTTCGTTGCTTCCTCCTTCCCTTCTTTCCTTCCTCCCTCTGCTCCCCTCTTCTCAGTGAAGGAGGTGTGCATTTATTCCAACATCTAGTCTTATCTGTAGCCCGGGACAGCACATTACAGGGATGCCTGTGTGCCTGGGTTCCCGCCACATCTTAGAGCTCATAAAATGAGACAAACTGTGGAACGGGAGGAGGCTGCTGATTATTCTTCTGAGAGAGGACTGCTATCTAGAATATATTTAAAAATTCAAAAACCTAGCGCCCCAAACCAAATATTTCAATCAGTAAAATAATCAATTAAACTGAAAAGATATTTCTTAAAAGCAGAAGCACAACTCACATATAAATATATGAAAAAATATTCAACATGTTTAACTGTTAGGGAACTGCCATCAGAACAACTGTGATCCCAACCCAGTCAAAGTGACTATCATCACAAACATAAAAAATGACAAAGGCTGACAAGAATGTGGGGATAAAGAAACCCCTCTAGACTGTGGATAGAAAAATAATCTTGTAGAGACTCTGCTGGGTCTGGGAGAAACACATCAAGAAGCTAGTTCGAGCTTTCCATAGGTCGTGCAATCCAGGTGGGGTGTAGGAAAGACAGAAGCCAGGTCTCCTTTCCTGTTAGCTGACTGGTGCACGGGCTGAGAATCAAGGAAACTCCCATCCCACCCCCAGAAGCAACTGGCTGACTCAGAGGACAGGCTGAGTTGAGAGCAACTGAGGTACAAAAAAAGCTAAATGCTTGAGTTGATGGATTTTTCAGGACTAAGGCTGGTAGTGTGAGCGTCTCCTGTGTGGAGAACAGTATGCAATATGGCGAACATGGGGGATTTCCTTCTGTCTTATGTTTGAAATCCAATATTTTTCTCACTGCTTTGTTTTATCCCAATTTATTGTTTTGTTTTGTTTAATGCTCTGCATTGATTGATTTTATTTTGCTTTGTTTTATTCAATTTTACTATGTCTGAGGGAATCGACAGTTACTGGGAAGATAACAACATACATTGTGGTAACCATTTTTGCTAACCTATTTTCCTGTTTTGAAGTCCTGTACCACCTTCACTGTTTTATTTTGATTGGTGTTATTCTGTTTCATATTGTTGGGTTTTATTCTATTTACAAAAAAAAGAAAGAAAAGTAAACTAAAGTCGTGCAACTACTGTCGAAATCTGTATGCAGATAACTCAAAAACCTAAAAACAGAAAATGATCGTAGTTACTTTTCTCATTGCTGAGACAAAATATTCAACACCCCAAAGTTAAAAGAAGGAAGATTTATTTTAGTCATAGTTTGTAGAGGTTTCAATCCATAATTTATTGTCTCCATGGCAAGGTGGCATGACAGCGGGGTACCACAAAGGAGTATCAGTTCATGACAGTGAAGACAGGAGGCAGCAGGTAGGCTGAAGCAAGCTGTATACAGTGGCAAAAGCAGCATCCCTTCCTCTCCCTTTGACCCCTGCAAAGCACAAATCCTTACATTATCTACACCCAGAACTATGGTAAACCAAATAGTGGATTTATCCTGTGTCACAGCATCCTTAATACCAGTACCACAGCCTAGATCCAGCTACATTGAAAAGCTGCACCTATGAAACCATGAGGCTTTAGGGGACATCTATATACAAGCTATAGTACAGAAGTTTCTTTGATATAACTATACCTGCCCTGAATATTTTATCAGAAGGACTAAAGACATCAAACTGTGGTGATACATTCATTCCCATGTTGGTAGTCGCACAAGTCACAATGGCTACTCTGAAAAGAGCCTAGCTGTTCATCAACAGATATATAGATAAAGCAAATGTGGCATATCTACACAATAGTATATCATTATCCATAAAGATGAAATCACATCATTGGCAAGAAAACAGATCAAATTAGAGATCATCATGTTAAACCAAATAAACCATACTCAAAAACTTAAACATGTCATGTTTTCCCTTTTACTAGAAACCAAAATATTAAATAAACAAACAAATTAAATAAGGTATGGTGGACAAGTAGACAAGAGATTCCTGGAGATGAGGAAAGAATGGCTGAGGGAGGACAGTGGTTGTGTGTCATAACAGGTTGCAAATGATCACAATCTGTCCTGTGTGTGTGTTTATTCCTCAAAAGGAACATCACTAACTTTGCATAGTCATAAAGGCTAAACTAAATTAGAAAAAAAAGTAAAATAAATGTTTTAAATGTCACACCCTGGGCTGGGGATGTAGCTTAGTGGTAGAGAGCTTGTTTCCAAGCCCAAGATCCTGGGTTTCCTGTCCGCTACCAGAGACTGTAACGAGAATATTGATAGTAGTTTCTTAAAAGGTAGCAATAAATTCACAAACAGACATTCATGGAGAACAAATGCATTGGAAACAAGGAATTTGCTCTGTTCATTTACAAATAACTTCCAGGGCAAGGGAGACAATTACAACTTAGGATTTATATGACAGTAAAAAATGCTCCCACACAGATAATTAAAGAAATTAAACCAGAAAGGGAAATACCATCTTGCATTTGTGAATCAGTAGTATGCACTGTCCTAAATTGTAAACTACATTGTCAACAACCATGAGCAACCAGATGTCTTGAACAAACAAGATAAACCCGACTATTCTATCTTTATATGCAGAGACAAAATGAGTAAAGTGTTTTTTAATAAACCATAGTGATATGGATGGAAGTTCAGCTTGAGGAAACATTTGCACAAAATCACATTCTAAAAGGAAATAGTTGCAAAGTTAGGACATGCAGATGTGAAGAGATCAATCAGGATGGGCCTTCTGGTAAACACACCATTGATCTCACACAGGGAAAGCAGAAGGAAGGAAGTCAGGTGATTCTTGGGCTCCAGGACAATGAGGAAGAAAACATACGTAGAACCTCAAGAAACTGATTGCTGCATGGGGCAAGCAAGAGCCTGAAATCTAGCAAACAAACACATCTCCCCCAGAAAGTGCTGTACACAGCAGTGACTCACAGCAGTGACTCTGAATGAGGGCTCAGAGAGACCCCTGGACAGGTATATAAGGCTCCCAGGCAGGAGGAGCCACATCTACACACCTCCCTCTCCACCTGCTCCTCTCACCTCTCCACCTCCATCACCAGAACCATGACCTGCTGTGGCTGTTCCGGAGGCTGTGGCTCCAGCTGTGGGGGCTGTAGCTCCAGCTGTGGAGGCTGTGGCTCCAGCTGCTGCTGTGTGCCCGTGTGCTGCTGCAAGCCCGTGTGCTGCTGTGTGCCAGCCTGTTCCTGCTCCAGCTGTGGCAAAGGGGGCTGTGGCTCCTGTGGTGGCTGCAAGGGTGGCTGTGGTACTTGTGGGGGGTGTAAGGGTGGCTGTGGCTCCTGTGGGGTGTGCAAGGGGGGCTGTTCCTCCTGTGGGTGCTCCAAGGGGGGCTGTGGCTCCTGTGGGGGCTCCAAGGGGTGCTGTACCTCCTGTGGGGGATCTAAGGGAGGCTGTAGCTCCTGTGGGTGCACAAAGGGAGGCTGTGGCTCCTGTGGGTGCTCCAAGGGGGGCTGCAAGCCCTGCTGTTCCCAGTCGAGCTGTTGCCAGTCCAGCTGCTGCAATCCCTGCTGCTGCCAGTCCAGCTGCTGCAAGCTCTGCTGCTGCCAGTCCAGCTGTTGCAAGCCCTGCTGCTGCCAGTCCAGCTGCTGCAATCCCTGCTGCTGCCAGTCTAGCTGCTGCAAGCCCTCCTGCTGCCAGTCTAGCTGCTGCAAGCCGTGCTGCTGTGAGTCCAGCTGCTGCAAGCCATGCTGTTGCCAGTCCAGCTGCTGTGGCCCTGTGTGCTGCCAGTGTAAGATCTGAGCTTCTAAACTCAGACAAGTCATCCTGAGCCAGACACTGTTCAAGGCTCATCCTCTCTGTAGGATGAACCCAGCTGTCCCCGCCCCCCACTTCCTAAGAAGAGGCTGTGCAGTCATGCTCCGTCTCCTCACAGGCTCTCCTCCCAAGTCACCTTTTGGCTCAAACGGCCACGCTGTTCCACTCAGCAGACTGAGCACTAAACACCTCCTATCCTGCCTTTTGGTTTAGGAGGACCCTCCCCTTGGAGTCCCATTTGGAATGACGTGGGGTAAAGATTGTCTGGAACTTTCTGTAGGCTATACACTATTGTCTCTTAAATTGAATGCTGCAAATCAATAAAACCACACGGCCACAAACCAAGGCATGTGTCTTGCTCATTTCTCTGCTCTTCATCATCACTACCATGGCTATTGGCCTTCGTGTTTCTGTTGAGCGAGGGCTTTCTCGTGGGTCTGTTGGTGGTGCGTGGCTCTGAGCCCTGCTAGATGAGAAATGGAGGTTACTTGTGCTTCTAGCCTCTCTCCTGACCCAGCCCCACCTCTCTTTGGATTCCTCTCTGCCCATGTGCGGTCATCGCTGACCCAGTGGCGACAAAATGAACCTGGGCCCAGACCAATAAAATCTCCAAGACTGCGGAAGCCCCTAGGTATTTCACACTGTCCCCTCCTATCCACTTTGCAGTCTCCCTTTGGACAGTCCTTGCAACTGATTTGCTCTGATTTTCACTGTTAATATTTACAAAGGCCTTTTATCTCAGTAAACAAACACATTTCTAAGGGTACCAGAACCTTGTCATTGAGGGTTCTCTCCTCCACCCTTCCCCAGAAAGAATACCTAAGTCTGCATTGGTGTGGCAGGACTGGGAACGGAGATGAAACCACCATATACATATCTAGAGATGGCCATACATTCCTAAATTTTCTGGAAATACAGAAACACTGATTCCCAAACTCAGGGTCTTGGGGAACATTTCTGTAAGTTCTCTCCTTTTGCCTTAAAATTGGACCAATATTTTTCAAGATTCTTTTTTTTAAATTTTATTTAAGGAGAAAAAAGAAAAAAAACAGAAAAAGGGTACAAGTTATACAGAATTTCAGAAAAAACAAATAGTAGGAAATCACTAGTTAATTACATATTGTCATCTTAGAAATAGTTGTTCAAGTTACAAAATTAAAGCATATAGAGGGGACTTTCAGTGAGACTGCAAACAGTTTTGTTAAATGATCCAACAAAACTCAGTAATATGGTTATCTATCTTATACACTTAAATATATATGCAGTTATATCTTTTAGAGAACTTTCTTTTCCTTTCTTTTGTACAATGACAATTACACATTTTGGGTTTTATTACTCCCACAGTTCTTATTACTTTTTTTTTTGAAGAAAGTAAAACCAAATGTGACATACCAGGACAGAGTCAGTCAAATCAAAAGGATGGACATAATACATAATGTAAAAACAAAATACAAGGTGATCAACAATGGTTACCATAATGCCTCTTGTTATCTTAAAAAGAATTGCCTATATCATCAGTTATAATAAAATTGAACAAAACAGTAAAGAATAAGACCAATAGAACCAAAACATTGGAGACATTAGAGGACTTCAAAAGAAGATAATAGTCAACCAGAATGGGCTTCACAATGAATCTTATTGTCTTCATAGTTGTTGCCTATACTTTCAAACTTGGTACTATCAAGCATAACAGAATAGAGGAAAATCAGTCATAAGAAGATGGTGAGAGCAATACAGAGTTTCAAATCAAGTTAATAGGAAATCAAAGTTGGTTACTATAATATATCCTGCTATTTTTTATTTTCCCTTAATTAAAAGGATAAACATGAAAAAGTAGATAATAAAAAGGAGATTGAGATAAAAAAAAAAAAGAGGGCATAACAACAAAACAGTGCAGGTCAAACATAGCCATTTAAGCAAAATAGTGTTTCACCACAAGATAATCTCGACATAATAGTAGTTACCATAGTGTCTCTTCCCTTAAAATCTTTGGGTATGACTTCGTATACTGTAGCATCAAACATATCAAGACAATGTAAAACTGTTCAAGAGAAATGACAGTATTACAGGGTATTTAGAATCAACTAACAGAAAATGAACAATGGTTTCGGTATAATCTCCTTGTCTATATTTTTCAAGATTCTTGAGGCAATATTAATAAACTCTTTCAAATTATTTTTAAAAACATTTGTTTATTCATAGGAAATGCCAATGCACAAGAGAAGACATTAAATACCTTGAAAGTCTCCAGTTGTTTTTAGGAGCCCTGATGGTAATGGTAATATTGGTTATTCTGAGACTATATGAGTGTTTTGTGCAAAAAATCAAATTAATAACTAGTTTGTTTTCTCATTGTGAAGTTGATGTGCTTAATTCAAAGAAAAATTTCATTTTCCAATCAGACATATGAATATCTTATTGTTTTAAAAATAGGATTTGCTACTCCACTGAAAGACCTAGAAATAGTCACCTACCTAGTATAAATGAACTCGCATTGCACCAAGATTTATTTCTTTAAATACGATTTATTGTACCTAAACAGAACCTGGCTACTCTGGAGAAAAAGTCTCAAGGTAGACAAGATAAACCTGAAGTAACTTCTTATTCTAGAGATCAAGGAAGATAACCTAACCAGTAAGGTCAAACCAGCAAAACAATGATGTCAAATACGGACAGCAGAATTGCACACTTGGTCCATCTACATTTCAATTATTTCTACGCACTGACACATATCACATGTGTCTCAATCCAGGGCCAGAGAGAGAGCTCAACAGCACACAGCCTGCCTGGCAAGCACAGGTTTTGAGTTCAAGTCCCGGTACTGCTCCACAAAAAATGTCTCAACCTATAAAGATGTTGCATTGGCATAAATAACAAATACATCTCAACCTACTATGCACAAATAGTAATGCAGAAATTAAGCAAACTGCAAAACTTACTAACTGCCTTTAGAAGATGCTGAAAACCAACTCATTCTTTCACAATACTTGATAAACTATCTTATGATAGTCAAAAATGAGACAGATGTTCTGATTTTTAAACAGAGAAGAAATCATGAAATGAGAAATTCATCATTTTGTACCCCCATGAAAATAGTGGGTTTCAGCACTTAAAGGAAAACTTACAGCCTTATATGCATTATTAAAGTAAGAAGAAAGATTACTGGGTTCAAAATCCTTTTGTAGGACTAACAGAGGTCACACTAGAGAACCAAATGGAGTGGCAATTAGTACTAACCACACATCCTTCTTTTCTTCTCCTTCTTGGAACTGGTGGAGTACAAGGCCATGGTAGGAGGCACCCTCCATAAACTGCCTGGAAGTCAGATATGCCATCTGATTGCTTGAGCCAGGGGGTAAAAGCTTGAAATGCCCATTGTAGCTTTCCAGTGTCTTTTCCTCCTCCCATGGTGAACACTAAGGCTCTACCTACTGGCCAGAGAAAAGACACTTGAAAGGAGCCACCAGCCTTCTTTCAGAGTCAGGCAGGAAGAATAGGAATTAAGACTCTGTCCTGTTAATCTCTGACATTGGGCACTGGGGCATGGATTTGGGATAGCATAACCAGCCTATCCATTACCAAAACAGCAAACTGCCACCTTGGTTTATTGATCAGGGACTGGGTAGAAAAAGAGCTAGAGACTCTGCAAAGGGGATTCGTACACATTTGGTAAGTCTATCTAGGATCAGGTGTGGTAGAGGAACTCTGAAAACATGATGCTATTTGTGTGCTGATCACTAGGGCTTCAGTTAATAATGCATTATGAAGTTAGTCCCAAAGCACTGGCACACTTACAAACCAGAAGACAAGGAAGAGAAAGCATAAAGAAATTTGAGAAACTATAACTTGTCATGGTAATGACAACTCTTAACCAAACTAAAATGAGCCCATTTTAAATGTCCACCTCCAAGAGGTTGCATGATGACTGCTGAGGGTATAGGTGGCCCAAAAGGGGAAGTTGGACACACTGTTCCCCAGTGCTTGGGTTGGCGTTCCTTTCTGGCTGGCAGGCAGTTCCTGTGGGCAAATCACAGCCCTTCTGCACAAGAAAAAGTCCTCTTCAGGAAAGAGGGATGGAGCCAGAAGGGCAGGAGCACTTTAGTGCATCTTTGATTCAAAACTTTAGGGAAAACTTTATCCATGACCACGTTGGTAAATTATAGCTCAGGCTCGCAACTTCCTTCCTGTGCCATCAGAGACTATGTCTTTGTCTCTTGTGCAGAATTCTCTCCCCAGCCTTCAAGCCTTGGACAGGACCAGATTGTGCTATGGATCCTTCTCTCTCCTGCAAACTCAAATGTGTGTCTTGCTCCATCAGCCCTGCTTACCATGGTTCCTTGGCAGCTGCAACAAAACCCACCCCAGCTTGAAGCCCTTGTCCTCTCCCTGAAGCCAACTCTCTCTCCAGCTCTTCTTGTTATGTTAATGGTGGTCCCGGCCTCTGGACTGTGGTCTATCAGTCTCCAACCCAAATCCTAAAGCAAATACCATTGGTTCTACCCTTTAAACATATTTAGAGCCTGATTTGCCAATGCCTGACTGGTAATTTATCTAAGGACCACCTTCAGCAGCACACTTTATTCCCAAGTTTTCACCTTTTACTGCTCATTCTTTCATGTACTTTATAAACATTAACTTTTTCCCTCATCACAAACTCCTGTGAAATATGCACTCCTTTTATAAGAATTTACTTCTTTTGGATAGTTGTCAATTCACATAGTTCTAGATATTCATGGATTTTAGTTTGGATAATGGTGGATAGTTTGGAAAGTTGTTAGAAAGTACAGAGGGGACCTCAAATACTCTTCTCTGGTCTTTCCCAAGGTGGCATCCTAAAAACATCACCTGCATTCTCCCACCAAGATACTGACACGGGACATTTCCATCACTAGGGGATCATACTGTCCGAGGATAACCACTCCATGTCCTGCAGTCCCCTACCCAGTCCCCAGTCCAGCAACCCCAGACCTGTTCTCCCTTCCTGTCATTTTGTAGTTCAGGAATGTTGAATAAATGGAACCACAAGGTATGCAACTGCCTGGGATTGTTGTGAGGATCAGTGTTTACTGCAACTTATTGCTGAGCTGTGCTCCATAGTATAGGACTATGGTATGGACCAACCTTAGGACATATGGGCTACAATACACAAGGACCATGGACTTTTTAAATCATCCAGTAAAGGTGATTAAAGAACTTTATTGTGTTTCCAGTGTGTGGCTGTCATGACTAAAGTTCCTACAAATATTCACAGACATGTTTTTGTGTGAACAAAAATTTCTGTTCTTCTGGATACATAGCAAAAAGTGAGAGTCCTATTTTGTACTATATTTATATGTCTTGCCTTTTCTGAGATCAGATGAGACTGGTCATATTTAGGGTGTCATGGCCGTAGATAATGTCTTGATTTTAAGATGCAGAAAAATTATTTTCCAGATTAGCCAAACCATTCAGGTTTTCTGCATTCGCATCAGCATTTGGTGATGTTGCTATGTTTTAATTATGCCATTCTAACAGATGTGCCATGATATCTCATTACAGGTCTGTGCTTTGTTTTGTATGTATTGCTTTGCTTTTTCTTTCTTTTTTGCTATTGAGTTTTGAGAGTTCTCTATATATCCCTGTACCAGTCTTCTGTCAGATAATATTTTGGTCACGGTGCAGAATTTTTTTGAAAAATACTGCTGAATTCTATCAGTAGAATTTTTCCCTCTGCCAGTGGCTGGCAAGTTGAAATATAGGATAAGAAACAGAGCCTAGGTGTCTCATGATGGGCACGAAGTATAAATTGTCTGGGCCCCTGGAATCTGTATAATTTGCTTCTGTACTGCAGCCTGAGCCATCCTGACTGACACATCAAGTGGGTGACAGGCTGGTGAGTAAAAGATGCGGGTCAGAAACTTCCACGTGGAGACAAGAGTCTGCCTGTGTGAGTCGGGGTCCTTCTTTCCTTTTCCTCCCTTCCTTCCTTCCTTTTTCCTTCTCTTCCTCTCCCTCCCTCCCTTTCTTCCTTTCTTCCCTTTGTTTAATCTTTTGTTTCTTTGTTCCTTCCTTCCTTCCTTTTCTTCCTCTCTTCCTCCCTCCATCTTTTTTCTTCTTTCTCTCCTTCCCCTCTCCCTTATCCCTTCTTTCCTGTCTTTTATCCCTTCCTTTGTTTCTTCTTTCCTTCCTTCTTACCTGTGAGAACACCTGACATTTTAAAAATGAAAACAACAAACTATTAACAGAGACATAGAGCCACCAATATCCTCGGATGCTGCTTTTGAGGGTGGGTGTTGAAAATAGGACGACCATTTTCAAACAAGGTTTCTTGTAAAGATGAGATATGCATTCCCAGTGGGGCTGGGTATGCAACTCAGTGGTGGAGCTCTTGGCTTGCATGCACAAGGCCTTGGGTTCAACTCCCAGAACTACTCACACACAAAAAGATACGCATTTCCCAAAGTCTAGCAAGTGCAGTCCTCAGTATTTAACCGAGAGAAATAAAGACATAGATTCACACAGGAACTTATATAAGAATGTTCACAGAACATTCATTCAGATGAATGTTCACCATGTAACATTTTTCATGTGTGGCTTATTTTACTTATTATAATCTCAAATTGCATCCATTTACTTATGGTGCTTCAAATTTATCTTTCTTTGTGGCAGAATAGTATTCCATTGTGTGTATAGACCACACTTTAAAAAATCTATTCATGGTGCTGGGCACATAGGCTATTTCAAAGATTTCTGAGCACAAACTAAGGATCTATGAACAAGGGAATAGAGGATGCGCTGGGTTGGGTCTTCCCATGTATCACAACTCAGAGAAGATTGTGAACACAGAATAATGTTTTGGGTGACAGAAGCCAGTGTGTGCTTTGTGATTTACTTTATATGGAAGTCAGCAACAGCCACAGTCAACCAGAAGAGCTGCTGGCAGGAGGATGGGCTTTCCACGCAGTGGCATGAAGGCTGTGGGGTTCCACCTGAACACATGCTAAGCTGAACACAATCGCGTGGACATGCGAGACCCATACAATTCACTGGATGCAAATTTTACTGCAGAGTTCATTAGAAAGGCTCTTTGGCAGCCTTCAAAGAGAACACATAAAAATTATCTCAGTTGACTTCTGGGTGTTTTACAAGGACTTGCTGAGGAAAGCTGTACTGCTCGGGAAGGCTGTGGAGCCCAGCTCATGTAGGACAAGGCAGGTCCTATCTGTGGCTGGGGCAGGTAGGAAACCAGAAGAATTCACTTCACTTTGTTTTGACACTTTAACAAAGCATCTAGACTGGTCATTTGGGATGGTGTAACTGCAGAAGTAGTCGAAACCTTCAGCTACACTTCTATTCACAAAAATGATCATAATGAACCCATTTAGGCAGGGACTATAGACACTAGTGCCCAGGGGAATGGAGGATGTGGGTCAATGAGGAGAAATGAAAATTTTGGGATGAGGTTCTCCAGCCAGCAGGGCCATTGCTCCTGAGTCACAGTGTCAGCTGGGATACGTGGGAAGAGGGATTGATCCTTTTTTAACACAAGGGACATTTGCAGGGAAAAGACCAAGCTCAGAAACCAATGAGAGGACAGCTTGGCTTCAGTTAATAGTAGTTCACGAGACCAAGAAGAGATTAAAAATAACAATTGACTGCATGAAATAAGGTAAACAACAAAGGAAGTGATCATGTGTTCAATGTAAACACCTAGCCAGATATAAAGGCTCCTGGAGAAGTAGCCCCCACATCCAACACCATTCTCTCCATCTGTTCCTCTCACCTCTCCACCTCCATCACCAGAACCATGACCTGCTGTGGCTGTTCTGGAGGCTGTGGCTCCAGCTGTGGGGGCTGTGGCTCCAGCTGCTGCTGTGTGCCTGTGTGCTGCTGTGTGCCAGCCTGTTCCTGCTCCAGCTGTGGCAAAGGGGGCTGTGGCTCCTGTGGGTGCTCGAAGGGGGGCTGTTCCTCCTGTGGGGGCTGTAAGGGCAGTTGTGGTTCTTGTGGGGGCTACAAGGGTGGCTGTGGCTCCTGTGGTGGCTGCAAGGGTGGCTGTGGCTCCTGTGGTGGCTGCAAGGGGGGCTGTGGCTCTTGTGGGGGCTCCAAGGGAGGTTGTGGCTCCTGTGGTAGCTGCAAGACCAGCTGTTGCCAGTCCAGCTGCTGCAAGCCCTGCTGCTGCCAGTCCAGCTGCTGCCAGTCCAGCTGCTGCAAGCCCTGCTGCTGCCAGGCTAGCTGCTGCAAGCCCTGCTGCTGCCAGTCCAGCTGCTGCAAGCCTTGCTGTTGCCAGTCCAGCTGTTGCAAGCCCTGCTGCTGCCAGTCCAGCTGCTGCAAACCTTGCTGCTGTCAGTCCAGCTGTTGCAAGCCCTGCTGTTCCCAGTCCAGCTGCTGTGTCCCTATCTGCTGCCAATGCAAGATCTGAGACTTTGGGTACAAATCTCATTTGGGTCCTACAAATCTGGCTCTCTAGAAATGACTGGATTTGTGTCCTAAACTCCTGAAGAAACATTCTGGATCTATCCTATCTGAGCTACAGCAGCCTCCATCCAGCAGTGCAGTGATGGAGCATCCCACCTCCTGTGCTCTGCCCACCTTTCCTCCTGAATCTGCCCTGTTCCTTCCTGATTTCATCACTCCAACCTTCCCAGGCCATATCACATGCTGGGAGAATCCCCAATCTGGATGCCTCTGGCAGGGCTACTCTTCTTCCCTGCACCTGACTCCTGCTTCTTTTATCTTTATGTCACTCTGAGCTGCCTCAACTCAGACTGCTTTTAGAGTATATCTAGAGGACACAATGGCATGGGAAACCCCAGATCTGACTCCTGAGAACCTTCGCTTCTTTCTTGAATATAACCAACTTCCTTTTCCTTAACCAGCTTCTATTCACTCTTTGTTAAATGCTCTGAATCTATTGAATAAACACTCCATGACTCCCAAGAATTCATGTTGTGGTTGTTTGTTTTCGGCCTCTGTATTATTAGCTGTATCTCATGTCTTGTTCCCCACTGTCCCTTAGTTGGAGTTCTATCACAAGCTAATAAACCTCATGGTTTAAATAAACTGATTGTTTTATAGCTCAAGAGGCCAGAAGTCCAAGACCAGGCTGTCTCTCCTTGATTTATCGATACTATCTTGTTCCTGTGTCCTCACCTGATATGGTGCATTAAAAACTGGTGGTCAGTTTAACACCAGCTGAACTGAGTCAGCATGGCACTGAGGTGGTGGGTACCTGAGGACTGTCGCCTATATAAAAGGAGACCTGGAGAGGAAGAGTAGTGTTTCTGTTTGGTGCTATTGGTTCTCCTGTTGCCATGGGTTCTCCTGGAGGAGCTTGTCATGCCTCTTTCCTAACATAAATTTAGCCATTCTCATCATCAGAGGAGCCCGGGGTAGTTCACACTGGGGGTCCTCTGGTCCTTATGTTGAGCATTGCTACCTTGCTCCAGAGGGGAAGATGTTGTGCTGCTCAATCTCCAGGAAAAGCTTGTCACACTGGCTTCCTGATACGAAATTTGCTGTTATCGTCAGAGAAGCTCGGGACATCACTGTTGCTGAGGATGGCTGTGGTTCATTTCAGGGGAGCCTTGGTCCTTACTTTGAACATTGCTTCCTGGCTCCAGTGCAGAACACTCAGTCTACTGGCACAAACCTTTCATCCCACTGGCACAGACTTTCTGGCTTCCACTGCTGACCTGTGGGCCTACCCAGTAAATATCCATGAAACAAATTTGCATGAGTCATTGTCACAGGCTGTAGGCCCCCAGTTGGACTCATGGGAGGCATTTTTATGGGCTCATAGTTTTCAGCTGAACTTATCCAGGTTATTGCCATGGGATCCAGACCCTCACTGAATTTTTTAGGTCTTTAGTGTATGGACAGATATTCTGCACTTTCTTTGTATTTGACTCCTCGAGTGCCCATTATAAATAATACTATAAATTATGTATCCTGTTTTGGCTAGTTCTCTTTGCAAATCCCTGATTATGATAGCTGGTCACACCTCTGTGTATGTCTGTGCTTTAATTTCTTTATTCAGGACAACAGCCTATGAGATTAGGGTCACCATCTCCAGTGTGTCTACATCTAAACTTGTCTCTGTGAAGACCCTGTCTACATACGCAATCACTGGCTAATATGTCTTGTGACAGTGCTGTGGTTCATTCTGCAATAGCTACCTGGGCACAGGGAATCACATTCTGTCTCCAAGATACAGAGCTTGGGAGTATCCTGGAGTTAGCTTCCCCCTTAGTTATCATATTCTAGTTTCCCACAAAGATGTTCTTAAAAAGTGATTTTTTGTGAATTCTTGAACTAGTGAAAAAGTAACAAATCCTTAGAATCAACAGGCAAGCTAGTGCTGAACACAGAGGTGAAGAGATGGAGGTGCATTTCTCAGTGGATCAGAAGTTAGACCTTCCTCTTTACTGAGACTCAGGTGACCCTGAAATCAGTCTCAGGCTATGTGGTGAAATAAATCATCGTGAGCTGGCCTCCCAAGTGTTTGCAGCTGAATTTACGTCACCCCAAGTGGCCTGAGAAACTTAAATGTGACATGTCCTGGCTGCCATATCCAAGATAAATATATAGAGAAATCAAATCCCCTGTAAAGAAATCCACCTTTAATGAGAATCAGGTTCCAAGAGATGAAATTCCAAGAAGATTGGTTTACATTCACAAGTCGCAATACTAATACACAGAGTCATTGCAAGAGAGCCAACCAAAACCATGAAGAGAAAGACCAATTTTAAAAAAAGACCCCAGTTATCAAAATTATCGGGCATAAAGTACAAAAACAATAGCCAAAGCAATTAGACATGAGAAAGAAATAAAAGGAATAAGCATAAGAAAGGAAGAAAAATTATTGTTATTTGCAAATGACATGATACTCTACATTAAAAAACTCCCAAAACTCCATGAAAATACTTTTAGTTTTAATAACCAAATTCAGTAGGGTAGCTGGATACAAAATCAACACTCAAAAATCAATATGATTCCTGTACACAAATAACAAACTCACTGAGAAATTAGGGAAACAACACCTTTCACAGTAGCACTTCCCCCCAATGAAATACCTAGGAATCAATCTAATGAAAGAAGTATAGCACTCTGAAAAAGGAGATTAAGGAGGATGTCAGAAAATGGAAATATATTCCTTGCTTTTGGGTAAGAAGAAATAATAGTAAAATGAAGTTCTGATCAAAATTCCAACAGCATATCTCACAATTAGAAAAAACAACTCTAAAATTCATTTGCAACCAGAAGAGACCTAGAACACCAAGGCAATTTGGAGCAACAAAGACAAGGGGCACCATATCCTTGGCTTGAACTTATAGCACAAAGCTACTGTAATTTTAAAAAAAAATGAAAAGAGTATGGTATTGGCACAAAAACAGACCTGAGGACCAACGGAACACATTGGAAGATGCAGAAACAATTCCAAACATATTTAGCCACCTTATCTTTGACAAAAGAGCCAAATACCTTCACTGGAAGAAAAATAGCCTTTTTAAAAAAGTGGTGCTGGAAAAACTGGCTTTGTACATGCTAAGACTAAAACTAGATCCATGTCTTTCACCATCCACTAAACTAAAATCCAAATTAAAACAGAAACATTAAATCTGCTGGAAGATAGAATAGGTAGAGTTCTTGAAGACATTGATATAGGCAATTTATGAAAAAGAAATTCAATTGCACATGAGCTGTCATAAAGAATCAGCAACTGGGACCTCATCTTATTAAAAACTTGGGGTCAGGGGTTTAGCTCAGCAGCACAAGCATCTAACCTTGCAGGTGCGAGGCCATGAGTTCAATCTCTGGTATTAAAAAAAAAACTTTTGCAAAACAAGAAAAACCAACAACAGAATGAAGAGACAGCCCACAGTGTGAGAAAAAATTTTGCCAGATGTTCCTCAGACAAAAAACTATTATCTAGAATATATAAAGGACTCAAAAACATCAGATTCTCCAAATTTAGAGACTCAATCCAGTATGCACTTTGGAAATGGCTCAAGAAATAGAAGATCAACTGATAATGTGAATAAGAAGTAGTAAAGTATAAACATAAAGAAGCATCTTTGAACAAGAAATACAGATTTTTCTATAAATGAAAAACATTGCCAGGAGAACATGGCGGACAGATAGCAGCAGCTACGGAGGCTCTCTGAAAGACCCAGCTTAGAATTCAGGAATGGTGCAGAGTAAGGAATCATAAGCAACAGGAGATATGCCCCGCTGACCCAAGAATGAATTGGGCTGAGAGAAACCAATGGGAATGCAATCCTGGTGCTATAACAGGAACAGAAAAGCCTCAGTGTGGAAGTTGGAGCCAGTGCCATTGGAAACCGCGATTTGGGTTTCCCGCCGCCGCTGCTGCGTCTAGATTGGCTCAGCAGGGAGAGAGATGCGTGGAAGCTCTGAGAACAGGAATCGGTGAACGGAGTTGAAAGCAGGATGGGCGGGGAGCTGTGCATTGACCTGCGGTGAGTGAGAGAAACTGGGGCTCTTCCACAGTCTAGGAAACTCCAACAGAGGACATTCTGGGACCAGGCAGACTTGCAGGAACAGGGCGCTGCAGTGACTTCAGTCACGTATCCCCCTCTCAAGCAGGATTGGTGAGCAGTGCCTAGCCTATGTGATGCTGCTGGCTGAGACCCAGTAGGCTAGCACAACCCAGGTCCCAGCGCCTGAAGGTAGGTTGACCTGGAGGGGTGGGTCCCGCATAGCCTGCCTGATCTGCAACTTCCTGGTGTGGTGCGATGGGCGGGAACACCTAGCCAGCGCAATTCAATCAGACTGTGGCTGACAGGGAAGGAAGCTGGGCCTCCTATATACACTTGCATATATAAGGAACAAAGAATATGGGAAGAGGCAGCAACAAGAAAGCCTCCTCGGCCCCCAATCCTGAGGAAGAGGCAATAGCAGACACAGCACCAATAGATATAAAGTGCTATCTCCATAGATAGCACTTGCCTCATAGACAAGTTCAGGAATGAAGTTATTAATGACCTGAAGCTAGACATAAGCAGAATAGTTAGAGAAATGCTAAGCACCACCCAAGAAAAAACAAATGGTGGAATGGAAGAACAGAAAAAGAGGGGAGAATTGTTTGATGGAGAAAATAGAGAAAGCATAGAATACATGAAGCAGGTTCAAAGAGATTACGAGGAAACTAAAAACTCTATCGAAAACTGGCATAACAGCTTGAAAGAAACTAAGGACAGATTATCTGAACTGGAGGACAGACTTGTAATATGGGAGTGTGAACTGAAAAACTTCTTAAAAATAACAAAGAAACAAACAACAATAATACAAAGACTAGAAGATGATAAGAGGATCCATAACTTAAGAATTAAGAACATAAAAGAAGAAGTAGGGACACAAACAAATGAACTACAAAAGCTACTCACAGAAATAATCCAGGAGAATTTTCCTAATTTAGCAAAAGGTAAAGATACTCAGTTGTATGAAGCATACAGGACCCCAGCCACCTACAACCCAAACAGAGCAACACCCAGGCATATAATAATTAAAATTCCAGAAATCCAATACAAGAACAGAATACTAAAAGCCATCAGAGACAAGAAACAGATCACTTACAAGGGAACACCCATCAGAATTACAGCAGACTTCTCGACACAAACCATCAAATCACAAAGAGCGTGGGGGAAATAACTCAAGCTTTGAAAGATAATAACCTCCAGCCAAGATTGATATATCCTGCACAACTATCCCTGGAAATTGATGGAAAAACAAGGTGCTTCCAGGATAAAGAGGAACTAGGGGAATATGCAACCACCAATTCAACTGTACAGAGAATACTGCAGGATATTCTAAAAAAGAAAAATACGAAGAATCCAGAAATAGTGGCAGAGAGGCCACAATGAATGGAGCAGAAAACAAAATGAAGAAGACAAACTGACAACTAATGACAGAAAAAGAGCTCAACAGAAATGAGGCAGAGAAGACTGGATGATAGGAACAGCTATTTTGGAGAAAATGATGTCTTAAGAGGTAATACTGATTTAGTATCATCTTGTTTTGAAGTCTCATCAAGCTTTTGTTCTTCTCTCTCCATTGGTCTAAACAGGTTGTGTCTTATTGGATTTTATTATATATAATAGTGTAAGCAAAAAACTTTTATAGACAAGGAGATTATACAGAAACCATTGTTCATTTTCTGTTAGTTGATTCTAAATACCCTGTAATACTGTCAATCTCTTAAATGGTTTTACATTGTTTTGATATATTTGATGCTGCAGTATACGAAGTTATACTCAAAGATTTCAAGGAAAGAGACAATATGGTAACTACTTTTATGTTGGGATTATCTTATGGTGAAACACTATTTTGCTTAAATGGTTATGTTTTGATCTGCGCTATTTTGCTGTTATGCCCTCTTTTATCTCAATCTCCATTTTATTATTTACTTTTTTATTTTTATCCTTTTAATTAAGGGAAAATAAATAAAAAATAGCAGGATATATTATAGTAACCCACTTTGACTTTCCATTATCTTGATTTAAAGCCCTATATTGCTCTCACCATCTTGTTTTGACTGATGTTTCTCTATTCTGTTTTGCTTGATAGTACCAGGTTTGAAAGTTTAGGCAGCAGCTGTGAAGATAGTGAGATTCATTATGACGCCCATTCTGGTTGACTATTATCTATGTTTGAAGACCTGTAATTTCTCCAATGTTTTGATTTTGTTGGTTTCGTTCTTTACTGTTTTGTTCAATTTTATTATAACTGATGATATAGGCAGTTCTATTAGAGACAGCAGGAGGCATTATGGTAACCATTGTTGATCACCTTGTATTATGCTTTTACATTATCTATTATGTCCACCCTTTTGATTTGACTGACTCTGTTCTGTTATGTCACATTTGGTTCTCCTCTCTTCCAAAAAAGTAATAAGAACCGTGGGAGCAACAAAACCCAAAATGTGTAATCGTCATTGTACAAAAGAGAGGAAAAGAAAGTGCTCTAAATGATATAACTGCATGTATATTTAAGTGTATAAGATAGATAATGATATTACTGAGTTTTGTTGGCTCATTGAACAGAACTCTTTGCAGTCTCACTGTTGGAACGTCCACTTTATAAGCTTTAATTTTGTAACTTGAACAATTATTTCTAAGATGACAATATGTAATCCATTAACTAGTGATTTCCTACTGTTTATTTTTTTTCCGTAAATCTGTATAACTTGTACCCTTTCTTTGCTTTTTTTTCTTTTTCTCCTTAAATAAAATTTTTTAAAAAATTAGGTATGTTTAGACTGGGTGAAAAGAATTAATGAGTTAGGACTGGGATTTAGTTTAGCTCAGCGGCATAAGTGCCTGCCTGGCAAGTGTGAGGTCATGAGTTTGATCCCCAGTGCCAAAAAAAAAAAAAAAAAAAGAATTAATGAGTTAAAGATAGATACTAAAAATTACCTATCATTTAATGTTCAAACACAGAAAAATGGGATGTATGTAAAATAACTATAAAATGTCACAGATACTAGAGTAATAATATCATATTAAATGAAATAAATCAGATATGTAAGCTTAAATATTGCATTTATTCTCTTATATGAAAAACCCAATGTATAAACAAAGAGCAAAATGAAAGATAGCTAAAAGGATGTAAGGAATCCACTATGCTGGGACTTGAGGGACCAACTAAGAAATCAACTATCCAGCCTTCCTGGTAAGCAGCACAAGCCGCATATACCAAAGAGAGAAAAGCCAGCACCTCCCATGAGCCTACCAGTGCGCAGGCTAAGAATCAAACACCCCCCACTACTACCACCCCTCATCCCCATTAGCAACCAGATGGTTCCCAGGACAGCCTGAGTTGATAGCAACTAAGGTAAATATAGCGACTAAATGCTTGTATTGTTTGGTTGATTATGCAGGTCTGGGTGCAGAGGTCTGAGCATCTCTTGGAAGGATGACAGGATGCAATATAGCAAATATGGGGGATTTCCTTCTATCCTGTCTTTGAAATCAAATGTTGTTTTCACTGTTTTGTTTTGTTCTGACTAATAGTGAACCCTGGGTGAAGGGCAGAGTGCACATAATCATGCAGCCAGTCTGGGAACACACGATGCTGGACCCCAGACGACAGGGGTGGAGGCGCCTGGGGCAAGGAGGATGCTGAGGAGGAGACTGGTGGCACGCGGAGACCTCTGTCCTACAGCTGCGTTCCACTATTGTTTTGCTTTATTCAATATTGTTCCTATTGGTTTTATAGTGTTCTGTTTTTAGTGTGATTTTGCTATACCTGATGGAATCGACAACTATTGTGAAGACAGCAAGATATACTATAGTAGCTATTACTGTTTCCCCAGCATCCTGCTCTGAAGTTCTGTACCAGTTTCATTGCATTGTCCTGATTGGCTTTGTTCCACCTGGTTTTATTGTATTTTACTATCTTTAAAAATTTTTTAAAAAGGACATAGGGATATAAATCTTTCTCAACTGGGAAGGAGATCAAGAGATAGAGGGAAGGAAGAAGGATAGAAGGAGATAAGTAAAGAAAATAAGATGTGTTTTATATATATATAATATATATACCATATGTATATATCATATATATACATGTGTTTTATACATATATGTATATACCAATTCCCAATAAGTAATGTAAATATTATGTACTACATTTTCTAAAAAAAAAATTAAAAGACTTTAAGCTTTGTTCTCATATGCAGTTTAACGCAATAAAAATTTACCATTGCAAAAAGTAAAAAAAAAAAAAACACTTGAAAATAAAATTGACCCACATCATAAAAGAAGGGAAAAGGAAGTAAGAAAGGAAAGTAGGAAGGAAGAAAAAGAAAGGAAAGAAGGAAGGAAAAAAAGAAAGAAAGCCTAATACACACAGTAACTATACTTCCAGAGTTACTGTGGGAGAATTTTCCAGAATTTATGAAATGCTAATTTTTTGATTGATGAGTCCTGAATAAATGCATAAAAGTCACCTTAGGCTCAGCATAATGACCCAAAGAAAACCATCTACTCAGTGAATATTAGCCAGGCCTTGAGGATTGAGCAGTGAGTAAAACCAGCAAAATTCTGGCCACTGGGAAGGTTTTGTGTCCATGCATGGCACATCTGAGGGTGACCTACATCTGTGTGCACAGTATTCCTGTACCCACCACCTCTGTACCCTTGACAGTGCCTTACTTCCTGACTGGAGTGTCCTTCTTGTATTTTTGGTGCTGTTTGTCCTGCCTCCATCCTCCAGATTCCTCTCTCCATTTCATTTTCATCAGAGAAGTACTCATCCATGCAAAGATTTCAGGGCAGGATCCAGCTCCGCCCTGCTCCCTGGGACCACACTAAACTCCCTTCTACAATCATAGAGCTCACCTGGCACGAGGTCTGGTCCAAGGGGGAGCAGGGCTCTCACCTGCCCACTGCCCTCCTACTACTGTCACCATGTCACTGTCACATCAGGGAGGGTGTCACACCTGTGAGAACAGCCAGGAGCAGGCAGAGAGTGGCTGATAGTGATGGCTTCAGGTCACAGTGAGAGGGCACCACCTGAGATCATTGAACTGTCTTGTAGACGTGGGCCTTCCTATGAGGGGCCCTAGGGCAAGCATGGTGTTTGGAAATTATCTCAGGTGGTGCTCATGCAACGTTTGTATTTCCAGCTCTATTTTATAGAAGGTAAGCTAAGGGCAGGGGCCAATGGGACTATCTAAAGACAAAGGAGCAGAAAGAGCCCAGCCAGGAAAAGAGGATGAGAGTCCACAGGACAAACTTGCTTACAGGGACTAAGCAGGAGTCATTTTTCCTTCCTATGTGAATTCCACGAGGAAATGATCTCATATTCTTACTGCAAAATATATCAACATAAACAAACAACACAAAAGATGGCAGCACATGATGACAGAAGATGAGATAAACAAGGAAGTGACTGTGTGACCAGCCTCACACTGGGGATATAAAGCTCCAGGCCCAGGGCGTCCATACCTGTACACCTCTCTCAACATCTGCTCCTCTCACCTCTCCACCTCTATCACCAGAACCATGACCTGCTGTGGCTGTTCCGGAGGCTGTGGCTCCAGCTGTGGGGGTTGTGGCTGTGGCTGTGGCTCAGGCTGTGGAAGTTGTGGCTCCAGCTGCTGCTGTGTGCCCGTGTGCTGCTGCAAGCCTGTGTGCTGCTGTGTGCCAGCCTGTTCCTGCTCCAGCTGTGGCAAAGGGGGCTGTGGCTCCTGTGGTGGCTGCAAGGGTGGCTGTGGCTCTTGTGGGGGGTGTAAGGGTGGCTGTGGCTCCTGTGGGGTGTGCAAGGGGGGCTGTGGCTCCTGTGGGTGCTCCAAGGGGGGCTGTGGCTCCTGTGGCTGCTCCAAGGGCGGCTGTGGCTCTTGTGGGTACTCCAAGGGTGGCTGTGGCTCCTGTGGGTGCTCCAAGGGGGGTTGTGGCTCCTGTGGGGGCTGTAAGAGCAGCTGCTGCCAGTCCAGCTGCTGCAATCCCTGCTGTTGCCAGTCCAGCTGCTGCAAGCCCTGCTGCTGCCAGTCCAGCTGCTGTAAGCCCTGCTGCTGCCAGTCTAGCTGCTGCAAACCCTGCTGTTACTCTCAGTCCAGCTGCTGCAATCCCTGCTGCTCTCAGTCCAGCTGCTGTGGCCCTATCTGCTGCCAGTGCAAGATCTAAGTCTCTGATCCCAGACCCAGGAAACTGTCAGTTTCCAATTTCTCAAGAAGTGTTCCTGGCTGTGATCACACATTGAAGCTTCAGTCTCATCCCATGCCCCAGAATACCCTTTCCTCACTCTAGGGCCGGGCATTCATCACTTTGACTACAGAGGAAACATCATCGGCACCATCATTCCCTAATGGAAAGCCCATATACTCCCTCCTAATCACCATGGAGATGTGGGCTGTGCCTCTCAGTCTTTCTTTGAAGATTTTCAGATCTCCTGAGTCCTCTAGACCTTTCCCTGCCACTTCCAGCTCTTTGAGCTCAACACTGGCCTTTGACATGTACTTTCTTTGTTCTCTGCATATTTTCACCTGCACAGGGCTCTGACATCCTTAAATAAACCTCTCCCCTCTGCACACAATGTACTTCTTGGAGTGACTTTTTTTCTAGTTTCTATCTAACAAATGATTACAGGCTCTGCCTATCCCCTGACACTTTGATCCAATACTAATTCATACACTGACAGTGACCTGCTCTGTGCAGATTCCATGCGAGTCCTGACCATGAGGAAGCCATGCTTCTCCTCCCTCAGAAAGGGCAGCCGTGGGTCCACACTGCAATACATCCGGAAGCAACAGAAAAAGACCTCCGAGAGGAAAGAATCTGTGTGAGGTGGGATGGGAAGAGGAGGGGGGAAGTAGTCTGGGAAGGGATTTCCCCATGTAGAGACACCAGGAAGGCCTGGGGGCTCAGAGAGGCCCGTGTGAGGCCAGCTGCATAAGGCAGTGGGGAAGACTCAGGCTGGTTGGTCAGGTCAGGTCATTTGCCCTCTTCATGCCTCCATTTCCCCATCTGTAAAATGGAAATCCATCCATGTCTGTGTAAGTGTGTTATAGTGAAGATTAAAAGACTAAACCATGCAAAATCTCCTTTATCCTTCCAGCCATACACATGCCCAAGTCAGCATCACCAAAAACAAGTCTTGAGAAAGCGATGCAAATAGGAAGGATACACAAGGTGCTCGCTGCAGAGGAGCTGGTCTTTCCACTGATCACTGAAAAGCCATGGAGGACTGAGTTGGGGTATTCTGAAGCTTTCCATGGTTAAGTGGGGATTGTTGAAAGCTTAGGTGACCACAGTGGCCTCGCAAATGGTGCAGTAGAGTGAGCAGAGCTGTGGTTGATTTTACAGGACCAGCATTTGTTTAGGTGTTTATGAAGAGCCCTGAGTGTGGGACAAGGGTCTCAAGTGGCCCTAGTAATGTTCCCACTGAGAGGATTCTATTGCAAGAGAGAAATGAGTTAAGAGATGTCTGAGTGATCTAAGACACTCAGTGTCTGAGTGGGGCAACAACCCACTGCACACTTGGAGATTTAAAACTATGCAGTTTTTTTTTTTTATTTAAAGAAAAGGAAACGAAAAAAAAAATACATGGAGATTAAAGAAAAAAAGGGTAGAAAAATAATACTAAATTACAGACAAACAAAAGGTAAGAAATTGCCAGTTGATAAGTTACAAATTGTCTTCTTCGAAATGGCTGTTTAGGTTATAGAATTAAAGTATTTAGAATGACATTCAAAAAAGTGACCCTACAAACCATTCTGCTCTATGGCCGAACAAAAGCTCCGTAATATGATTATCAGTCCCACCTATTTGTTTTACATCTCTAAGAGGATAAGGTTAATCATATCAAAACAGAACAGAACATTTAAAAAAAAAAATAAAAAACAATTTAAAGAAACACAGATTTCAAAGCAAGTCCACCGGAGATCTACCTTATCCAACTGTCTCTAGCCTCTTACAAATAGTTGTCCCTAACTTCACCCACTTTCTATACTTATTGCATATTATAGAACTAATCAAATCATTACAGGATGATGGAGTCTCTTTAGGTCCTCAAGTTCCAAATTAGGGAAGACATTTCCAACTACCATCGCATCTCTCATTCTCTTTGTGATAGCCGTCCCCATCTCTGCATATGCTGAAGTTGAGCTGAAGAAACCAGTCCAGAGTCATTTTAATCAGCAAGCAATAGGTTGCTAGAATTTATATTATAATGCTACAAAATAAGCCTCGGGTTTTTCTGGTCTCTTCCTCAGAGTATTTGTTCCTATCCTCTCTGTATTATAGGGAAAACCAAGTCATAACAAGACAGCGAAACAATTTCCTAGATAAACATGCAATGGATAAGACTTACAAAACTATAATATAAATGATCTTCCGTAGCTACTATGTTTTCTCTTGTTATTTTCAATAGATTTGTCGACAACACTGGCTTATTATAGTTAAATATACTATCACCTATTTTTATAAAAACTTATCTTTGACTGCATTGTAGTATTTGAGAGCTGTTACTGATTCATACCAGTATGGATATCCTTTACATCCTGTCATGCTCAGAGTAGTTTCCTCTACTTTTAGGGTTGATTCTAACACGCATACGGATTTCAAATAGGATCAGTCAAGGCCAACCAATAGTCTTATGATTCAGATACAATTAAGATCAGTCATAGTAAGACAATGTAAGTAATACAGGATTTCAGCTTAAGTCAATAGGAAAGTAAGGATGGTTACCATGGTATAACCTGCTATTTTTGGTTCTAGAGGTCTGTGTCCTCAAATCTGATATGAGTGGACAGACCAGAACAAATTTAATTCAATCTAAATATGGCACTAGGACTACTGTGTCTTTTAAATCGTTATACACCATTAGCAATGACCTCTGCTTTTTTTTTTTTAAATATAGTTTCAGAGCTGTCTCTACCAAAGACTAGCTTACCGTCTCTGCCTCATGTCTGCTACTCCACTTTTCTGCTATAATTTGTCCACCTTATTCCCTCATTCCATGGTCTGCCCCGTACACTGAGGCCTCTCTGCCACTGTAGCTGTAATCCTGATATCTCTTCCTACTATGCAGTTTTTAATCTCACCGTGTTTGTAGGTCCAAAGTTCAGGTGAACGGACTTTGGACCTGGGTCCTGTCCCCAGGAATCCTGAAGCCATCGGTTTGCCAGCTATGCCTGTGCCCTGCCAAGCTCATTCAGGTTATTTGATGTTCCTCATAATGACAGGATTGAGGTCTCCATTTTCCTATGGGTTATCAGCCACGTGACGATCCTCAGTAGCTACAGGTTCCTTGTCCTGTGACCCACTCCACTGGCCATTGCTTCCTTCCTGGCCAGCAAGGGCTAGGTCTCTCCACATTTTTTCTTTGACAGCTAAGGCTCTTCTTGAGCTCACAGTGAGGACAAATCCATCCAGGATAATCTCTCTTGAATAAGGGACTTTAATACCATCTTCAGATGTCCTGTCTGCCATTGAACAGATTGTAGTCACAAAGATGACATGTCACACTGATGATACACTTTGTTCTTGCTCAAAAAGGAACAGTATTAGTCAGCTTCCTTTCCCTGTAACACAACTCCTGCGAAAATCAACTTAGAGGAGCAAAAGTTTATTTTGGCTCCTGGTTTCAGAGGTTTGAGTCAGTGGGCTGCATTGCTTTGGGCTTGTGGCAAGGCAGAACATCAGTGTTAGAAGGGCATGGTAAGTGAAAGCTGTTCATGTCATGGCAGCCAGGAAACAGAAAAAGCTGAAGAGGAAAGGCTTGTGGACAAGACATAGTCCTCAAAGGAACATCCCACAACCCACTCGCTTCTCCAAAGCCCCTCCTGCTAAATTTACACCATCTCCAATATTGCTACCAAATTATGAATCCACCTCTGGATTAATCCCAGAGCATTCTGGGGCCCTCATGATCCATTCACCTTCTGAAAGGCCAGTCTCTGAATATTGCTTCAGGGGAACCAGGGTGAATACTGCTTCAGTTCACCATGTGAGCATTTTGGAGGGTGTTTAAGATTCAAAACATAACAGAGGCTGTACAGGATAAGTCTTTGAGGCTTGTTTGCATAATTCTGAGTGGAAAAGGAAAGTGATGCCTGGGAAATAAGGAGAAGTCACATTCATGTCATCCATAGGACGTCCAGATGGAGGCACCCAGAGAAGTTGTACAGGTCTAGAGAGGAACACACAAAAACGTATTATGTATCCATATGATAGCAATGGATTATTAGAAATAAAGATTTAAAACACCATACAAGGGGTGATCAAAATATACAGTGAATGTTTAAATGTTTAAAAACTTATTGCTGTAAAAAATACAATGCCATTAACTCCCTCAAAATACTCATTTCAAATACATTTATCCCATATTCTTACCACTTTTTGAAGCAGTACTGGAAATCCTCTTTTGTATCTTTACTAGCTATGATAAAAATGCTGGAAATACTCTTCACAAATGCCATTCAAAGGAAAGACAGGCTCGAAAAAAACGATGTGGTGTGTCCTTATCTACCTTATGTACTGAATCAGATATCACATGACTTTTGACTCTTTTCTAATGTCAAAATGAACATCAAAAATAAACATTTTGAAGAATTCACGATATCTAGGCAGCCACCACAGGGAAACTCACAAAAAAGCACCTCGAAAACTGTTCATAAAGTGGCAAGAAAAATGGGATAATGGTGTTCAATATGAGACAGAGAATTTTGTGGGTGAGTAAAGGCATTGTACCTTTTACTGTAATGATTTTTTAAAATTTAAAAATTAAATGTATTTTTCAGTCAGCCCTCATCTCTGTTACAGTCACTCCAAAGTACACAAACATGAATTTAATAATAAAAAAGCAAAACAACACAAGCAAAGGACAGGAAGAAGCATTTCACACACACACACACACACACACTATATATATATACATATATATATATATGTATATATATATATATATATATATATATACATATATATATATATGGGCAAGGGGGAAAAAAAGCCCAGGAATATCCTTTTATAGGTAAATGGATGCACCTTGAGAACACACTCATTGGTGAAATAAATAAGACACATATGTGTAAACATAGTGTTGTTTCAGCAGTGTGAAACAATAAAACAAAACAAAAATATGTGTATGTATATGTTTATAAAAATAGTTAAGACAGTTATACTACCGATTTCTCTGAGTTCACTAAAGAGAAAGGTTTGTACTGGTGTTGTTCAGACAGTTGAAGGCACATGTCTGTGCTCTGGGTGAATGATTTGTGGATGACAATGTGCAATACAGGTACCATTGCTACCCTCAATTGACATGCTTTGAAATGTAGTTTTCTTTTTCTTCTTCCTCTTCTTCTTCTTCCTTTTCTTCTTCCTCTTCCTCTTTTTTTCCTTTTTCTTTTTTCTTCTTCTTCTCCTGCTTCTTCTTCTTCTTATTCTTCCTCTTCTTTTGTCTTTCTTTTTATGTTGAATAAGAAAGATTTTTTTAAAATGCCCAGGAATAAATGTTCAGCACCAACAGTCTTCAGGAAAATGCAAAACTAGAGGGATAATGAAGTATCACCACATGGCTATTAGAACATCAAATAGAAACTTGCCATACAGTCATATAATGGAACAGGATTCAGCAGTAGAACTGAGGGTCTATGGATGGAAATCACAACTAAGATGGATCTCTAGAAAGTTATATCAAGTAGATAAAAAGGCCAATCTAAAAGAGTTGCATACTGTATTATTCCACACACACATAACATTCCCAATATGTCAGACATGCAGTAACTCAGTATGTTGACTGCAGTAGAAGTTCTTTGAATTCTCATTGGTGGTGAAATTTCATAGGCCTGTATGTGAAAAGATTCTTATAAAAACTGATGAAATCCAGCGGCCAGGGATATAGCTCAGTAGTGCAGTGCTTGCCTGACAAGTGCAAGGTCCTGAGTTCAACTCTCAGTACCCACCAAGCTAATAAATACATAGATAAATAAATAAATAAAACTGATGAAATCCAAATAATGTCTGTGGCCGAGCTGACAGTGTTGTGCTGCCATCCACTTTCTATATTTAGGTAAAATACTGTGGTTAAGAAAAAGGGTATAATCTGAAATGGGTAGTTGACATTTAATAGGGACAACATTTTGATTTGGAAAGATAAAAGAATTTTGGAGACAGTTTGCTTAACACTCATTGTGAATGTGCTTGCTGCCACTGAATGGAACCCTTATTTAGATAGTGAATGTTACATGTTTTGTATAATTTTCACAATAAGAAGATTCCATCACTGTGGAGCAGCTGAGTGGAGAATGCACAGGAAGCTGTACTGTCTTTGCAGCTTATGTAGGTTTTCAATAATTTCAAAGCTTTATGTCCCTTGGTTGCGACTGGTGAGTCATCTGGTCATCTATTCCTGGCTCTCCATTTTTAAATGACAGATCAAATCACCTACCTCTGCTCATCCAGTGACTCCATCCAGCTTTTACCCTACTCAAGCCCCTTCTCTTTATGCTGAGAGCAGCTTGTCCCATCCTGGGGCAAACAGCATGAATGTCCCCCCAAACCCAGCTCAGCCTATGAGCAACCAGTGCTCAGACACAGATGAGGTGGAGGCCCAAAGTTCTGCTTATTTCCCCTCAACTCCCAAGGCTGGGCCTTATTAGGGGCCACCCAGCCCTGTCTATATTAGGAGCAGCCTTTGAAAGAGTCAGAGGTCTGTCCTCAGGCTCCTGGCTTGACCTCATTCAACACAGAGGCAGAAAGAAGGCTTGAGAGTGAGGAGGAGAGCTCCTCCAAGTCCAGGGCAGGTCTCTGCTCTGGGCAACATTGTCTCAGATGCAAGTTCTGTTCAGCATCCTCTTCATACCACAAGCCCTTGACACTGGAAGAAGACAACAGGAGAGGCTTTGGCCTGGCCTGAAACCTCATCTCTCCATCTGTCTATAAGCCCGCTGGACCTACGCAAGTCACTCAGGTGTTACCTGATATCTCCTGTTGTTATGACTTTTCCACATCTCTTCTTGGAAGCCACAAGGAGCCTCAGAACAGAAGGCTAGAGGGAGTGAAGAGCAGAGATCACCTTTGAGGTTCCCTGAGGCCTACCCTGAGGTCAGGGTAAGGGTCCTGGGTAGGGCAATGTCTGCAGGGACAGACACATGCTGAAGACAGAAGCTCAGGTGACAGCAGAAGGGTTCATTTGCTGGGAGTTTGATCCAGACTGTGGCTGTATTAAGAAGTGGCAGGACTATTAAGGAGTGAGACCTAAGAGTCTCACTCCTTAAGTCCATTAGGTCATATAGGACATTGCCCTCAGAAGAGATTAAGGTAGGACTCATGAAACTTGGTTAGTTCTTATGAGATCGTTGTTATAAAAGAGTAAGTCTGACTCTTCCCTGGCTCTCAGGCTTCCTATCTCCATGATCTCTCCAGCCATATGAGGCACAGTCAGGGGGCTATGGCTAGGACAAACTCTGCTGCTTAGATTTTTAGCCGCCAAAGCTGTGAGCTGAGTCAACCTCTTTTCTTTATAAAGTATCCTGCCTCAGATATTTCATTATAGCAACAGAAAACAGACTAATAAAGTAGCAAAACAGTTTGAGTCCCCAAAGTCTGAATGATGGAATCCAGAGATAAAGAAAGCAGATTTACCTCTGAGATGACAAAATGGCAGGTGTGCTTGTCCTGGCTGAGCTGATGGAATTTGGTTTTTTGTTTTTTTTTTTTTTTTTCGTATTAAACATACTGTCTTTGCACTATAGAAATAGATAAAATAATTTTAAAATAAGCATAAGGCTATGGAGTGTTGTAGTTTATGTGACCCACAGTAAAATCCAAAGTTTTTATTGTCCGTAAAACCTACCACACTTTAATAAAGGGGTGCACATGAAGAGATAATTGCAGGACTGGTAAGGGATGCTGTTAAGCAATTCAAAGCAATTTCTTTTGTAGGTTAACTCTTTAACTCAGAGATGAGAAGATGGGGGAGGGGAGTACAGAAGGACTGTGAGTAGCCTTCTACCCACCTCTGTGGACACCACTAGGAGTTGAATATTCCAGAAAACTGATGATTGGAGCACAACATGGCACTTTGGTATGATAAACAACAATACTGACTATCCAATGGGTCCCTTCAAGGAGGAGGTGAAGGTTTGCACGTGGCAGAGACACATCAAGAGCACCTCACTCCAGGAGGTTCCCAGAGGAACTGGACACTGAGGGCCTAGACAGGAAAAGAATGTGTCACAAGATAAAGCAATGTTTGTGCTATTTTAAATGACAGAATTTCCTTAGAGAAAACAAAAATAGATACAAGGAAGATACCTTGTGCCCATCAGGACCCCAGGCAGGTATATAAGGTTCTGACCCAGGTGCCTCCACATCCACACACCTCCCTCTCCACCTGCTCCTCTCACCTCTACACTCCATCACCAGAACCATGACCTGCTGTGGCTGTTCCGGAGGCTGTGGCTCCAGCTGTGGGGGCTGTGGCTCTAGCTGCTGTGTTCCCGTGTGCTGCTGCAAGCCCGTGTGCTGCTGTGTGCCAGCCTGTTCCTGCTCCGGCTGTAGCAAAGGGGGCTGTGGCTCTTGTGGCTGCTCCAAGGGGGGCTGTTCCTCCTGTGGGTGCTCCAAGGGGGGCTGTGGCTCTTGTGGCTGCTCCAAGGGAGGCTGTGGCTCTTGTGGCTGCTCCAAGGGGGGCTGTGGCTCCTGTGGCTGCTCCAAGGGGGGCTGTGGCTCCTGTGGGGGCTGTAAGACCACCTGTTGTAAATCTAGTTGCTGCCAGTCCAGCTGCTGCAAGCCCTGCTGCTGCCAGTCGAGCTGCTGTAATCCCTGCTGCTGCCAGTCCAGCTGCTGCAAGCCCTGCTGCTGCCAGTCCAGCTGCTGCAAGCCCTGCTGCTGCCAGTCCAGCTGCTGCAAGTCCTGCTGCTGCCAGTCCAACTGCTGCAAGCCCTGCTGCTGCCAGTCCAGCTGCTGCAAGCCCTGCTGCTGCCAGTCCAGCTGCTGTAATCCCTGCTGCTGCCAGTCCAGCTGCTGCAAGCCCTGCTGCTCTCAGTCCAGCTGCTGTGTCCCCATCTGCTGTCAGTGCAAGATCTGAGGCTCTGGACACAGACCTTTTATTACCCTCTACAGCCACACTCTCCACACAGCACTTCTCCAAATGCCAGAGTCACCTATAAGTCTTCATCTTCCAAGTGATAGAAGTTGCTTCTCCAGACTGATGGGGAGCCATATCTCTTGATATAAAAATATGCCTCTCACTGGTAGCATTAGATCTTCCTGCTGTGCTCAGTGAATCATGCCTCTTCTCCCTCTACTTCCTCTTTCCTGTCCTTGGGACCTTGACACACATGGGTTCTGACCTCCCCTGGATGATTATGGAGTGCTGGAGTGGCCAGCAGCTTGTGGGACCTGACAACCTGAAGCTGTGAATTCCTTTTCCATCAATTACTCGTCCATTTCAGGAACATCACTACCTGCTCATCTCAGGCCCTCTTGCAATCTGTATGACAAGGCATAAACTGTACCCTTGACATCCTTAAATAAATATCCCCACTCATTGCACTGTTTGTGGTGGCTCTTTGTTCTACTATCTGATCAGCAGAAGTCCCCTAGCTCCTACCCTGCCTCCTAGAGACCCCTAGTTCAAAATATAATGAGTTCTTCTGCCCATCTGCTCCTGGAGCCAGTGCACTGTGCCCCCATTAGTCAGGCTGGGTCCAGGAGCCAAGGGCAAGAGAGCACGAGCTTCAGGGTCTCAGAGCCTGCTGGAGAATCCTGAAACTGAGGCAGCAAAGATCACAGAATACAAGTCCCGTGGTGGAACTTTGCTAAGGAGATTCAGGCCACAAGTTCTAGATGACTCCATAATGGCAAGGTGCAGGAGTAGGACAGACCTTGGAAGAAGGCAAGACTGACCTACGATCTGAAGGCTGAGAGGGTTCAACTACACAGCCAGCAAGAAGGTGTGGACAGGCATGAGCATTTGGGGACAAAATCTGGCTTGTTACCAGAGGATCACAAATTGAGTGTACATTTCCTAAGTGTCCTAGATATCACACTGAGATGTTCTAGAAACACTCAGATCCTATGGAAAACCACTGCACACATGGGACAAGCGGGAGGCAGGACAGAGCTTGGGTTAAAGTGTCAGCAGGAGCTTTGTGAAGAGGGGAACAGACAGCTCTGCAGCTAGACTGTCCATAAACACAGGACCAAGAAGAAAGAGCAGGAGGTTAGTGGAAGTCCTCAAGAACTAAGGCATAGTAGTATGGGAGCCAGCCAAAACCCAGTGAATGAGGAGTGTGTATACACACTCACACTACATATACGTACACCCATGCCCATACTATACACACAAACACTGTAAATACACACAGATTGTGTATATATGTGCTATATATAAGCATATACACATATACATACAGCTATACTGTACATGCAATGTGCATATATTATAATTCATGCTATATATGCATACAATATACACAGTATATATGAATTACATGTACATACATTATGTATGTATTCATTAGAGAAAGATACCCAAATGAATATATAAATACATATATTGTATATATAGACCCAAAACATATATACATATTACATAAACATCATATACAGATTATATACACATATACACACATATATACATATTCTGTGCATACATATGTTTATATGCACACTATACACACATTATATACATGCATGCCCACATCATATGTGCATACATTACATATAGAGATGAACACTACATATATTTATACACTGTGTTATTTTAGATCTAAAATGTCCCCTAAAGTCTCATATTTAGAATCAAAACAGATTAAAGAACTAAATGTTAACACAGAAACTTTTAACCTTCTGGAAGGTAAAATAGATAAACTCTTGAAGGCATAAGCATAGGAAAGAACTTTCTAAACAGATTATTAGTTGCATAGGAAACAGAACCAAGAATCAACATATGAGATCATATCAAATTAAAAAGCTTTTCCACCATAGAGAGGGAGAAAACCCTACAGAATGGGAAAAAAATTCCAGCTATTCCTCAGACAGACAATTAATATCTAGAATATAGAAATCAAAAAAAACTGGTCCCCCCACAATAAAAGAAATGGGCAAGTGAAATGAAAGATATTGCCCAGAAGAAATATAAATGGCCAAAACAAATACATGAAGAAACACTCAACATCGCTGACCATTAGACAGATGCAAATTAAAACAACACTGAGATTCTACCATCTTACTTTAGAAAAAATGGCAGTCATCAAGAATGTTGGGAAAGGCTGTGCGGGGAAAAGGAGTCTTTTTACATGGATAACCACTATGGAAATTAGTACAGATTCCTCACAAAACTAAGGCTATAGGTTTCATTTGACCCAGCTATTCCCTTTCTATGAATCTTCCCTAAAGAGTTAAAGACATCATATTAGAGGGATACATGCATACACATTTATAGTAGCACAGTTTGTAATAGCTAAATCTTGCAAGTGGCCTGTATGTCCATCAAAACATGAATGGATAGGGAAAATGTGGTATTTATATACACCATGGAGTACTGTTCTGCCATAAAGAAAGATAAACAAGTCATCTGTAGGAAAAGTGAATGCACCTTGAGACCATAACTTTAAGTGAAACAAATTAGACACACAAGCTTAAACATTGCATGACTTCTCTTATATGAGAAACCCAAATCATAAATAAAGAGCAAAATAAAAGATGGATATTATAAAGTAGAGAAATAAGTCCTTCTCAAATGGGAAGATGCTCAAGAGATGACAGGAGGGAGTAGAGGGAGAAGAAAAAGGGATGAAAAAGGTAATGAAGTTGTACTGTGTACATGTACCAATTTCACACAGGAATGTAAACAGTATGTACTGAAAACATGTACTAATAAAAATAAAAGATATGGCCACATATCTGTTCAGAAGACACAGGTCACTAGCTGCAAGACTTGGAATGGTACATTCTTGTCCTTGGCTGCCCCTTCTCTTTTTGTTTCTTGGTCACCGTGAAGTGTCTGACTTTCCTCTGCCATGCTTGTTTTACCATGCCAATTTTGTCTTAGAACCACAAAACCATGGACCAAAAGTGTGAATCAAAATAAACCTTTCTTCCTTTAGTTTATGTCAATGAAGGCAGAGTGACTATTTATAGTGCATATAGAAACATTGTCTATACACACTTCTATAGAGACACACCACCATACCACACAAACATAGAGAGATGTTGCTGCAGGCAATCAACTTTTACAGTTTTGTTGAGTGGTTAAGCAGTTCCTGCCAAGGCTGTCTCCCTGTCTAATGTTGGGCCTTTGTGTTTGTGCAGTTTGCCATCTGTGAAAATCAACTTGAGTGACAGGATACAAAATTAACACCTTAATGGGTCCTACCTCAAGTGGCAGAGTCTTGACACTGTAGGAGCCAAGCTCTGAGTCCCTGGCTCAAGCCTCACATCCTTCTCTGTTCACAGTATTCCTCACATGTTTAAACATCTCAAAGCCTCAAAGCTTCATATGGTCATGGCGGTGGGCCTTTCAAAGGCGACTCAGCCTAGCATTTGTGATTAAAGTTGTCTAGTGCTGAGATTGGCGGTGTGAGTGCTGTACCCACCCAGGGGCAGGGAGGGAAGGGGAAGTGCTTTTTTCCCCTGCAACAGTACTTCTGAGTATCCCAAGGCCAACCCTGTGACCTCCATGTGAAGCTCTGCCTCATTCGCCCAACCCTATGGGCTGTTGCAGGCCCAGGACCAAGTAGGTCTGAGGCCCATTACCTGCCTCACTATGAGGAGACAACCCTGCAGGAAGAAGTTGTCACCTCTGCTGAGGAAAAGGAGTTGGGCTGAGTAGCTATAGGAAAAGGTTTAGGTAGGGCCATAGTAAGCCCATTTGGGCCAGACTGTAATAAAGTTTTCTTATATGAAGACGTTACAAAGAGTAGGGTGGGACAGAATGTGCAAGGTTACCAAAGTGCTTGTTGTTGGAATCCAGAAAGATTCCAGCAGGTATAGCATGGGTACCGTAGTATCCTAGGTTTCTGCAACCCAGCCATAAGCCATCATGTTCATGCTGCACTTCTGGGTTCCAGGGCTCCCCTATGTGGCCACAGTGGTGGTTATTGGTCTTGGTGGCCCCAGTTCCTGAGTGGACCTGGTCTAGCTAACTCCAGATCACTGGTGCCAAGTGCGTTACCTTCCTGCAAGTCTAATATTCCCCTGGAATCACTCCATGCCCTTACTCCACTGGAATCACTCCATGCCCTTACTTCGCTGGAAGAATTGGGGGCCTTTGATTACCTGGGATCCTCAGTGCCCACCAAGATGTTGCTTCCACCCCAGGAGTTGACTGGAGAGCTGTTGCCAGAACCAGACAAGTTTGCTTCTCAGTTTGCAGGGCCTTTTCAACTCAAAAGAAGGATGAAGATTTCCACTCAAGCTCAGGCTGAAGACCACCAGCCCTTAGAAAGACTGAAAGACCACCAGTCACTTGAACACTCTAGTGAGTCAGAGTTTAAAAGCAGCAAAGTTTGTTTCACTCCTGAATTTGAAGACGGATGTAGGGTTTTGTTAAAGTGGTTTTTGGAACTTCTTATCAATCAGCAAAACCTGGGCTTCAGAAACAAACCTTGCAGGATGGTAATGTAGATCAGAGTACAGATATAGCTGACCATGGTAGACTACATCTGAAATAACCAGAACCCAGATGAGCTTCCAGAGCTCCCTGAGCACACTGGGTTGTGGATATTTCCTGTCCTTCAAGGGCAGCCTTAAGATTGCCCTACCTACTGCATAACCTGAGTGCTCTAGTATATGATTAAGGAAGCAGTCAAACTTTGTGAAATAAATAAATAATAAATAAATAAATAAATCTCATTCTCTTATGGTCTTTTTCTTCCTGAAAATATTCATAGTTTCCCCTGCACCCAAGCACTGTTCCGTGTTTTGTGTCCCTGGTCTTTTAACCTGTTTGGTTACTTTCTTCTCATAGCTGAGACAAAATACTCAATACCCAAAATTAGAGAAGGAAAGGTTTATTTAGCTGCCAGTTTATGTAAGTTTCAGTCATAATCAGCTGATTTTAAGTCAGGGTGGAATGGCACAGGGGCAACACTTCAAAGTGGCAAAAGACAGCAAATCAACAAGAACAGGAAGGAAAGAAGAGCGAGCCACTCTTCTTCCCTTATATCATACCCAGGCCAAACCCACCTCCAGGGCAGGTGAGTTTAGCACTCACAAAATCACACTGCCCTCCACTTGCACAGGATGAGAATATTTACAAAGTAATGACCCTGGCTCCCAGCTGAGTGACTTATTTAAACTTCTCAAGTTGACACAATGTATCAGCCGTAACACCCCCTGGTGCCACTGTGAGGCTGTGGGAGGGAGGGACAGAGGTTGATAAGGGTATCTGTCCTGGGGAGCTTAGGGCTGGTGAGTGACAGCAGATGAGCACATGGTGATCAGTGCAGGGACAGAGTTGGGGAGTCCTAGAGGAGCTGCTGGAGGTAGAAGGAAGGTAAAGAAGAATAAAAGGCATGTGAAGATAAAGATGGGTTTAAAA